GATGTAAGAGCTTGTGTGTGAGAGGGAGTTATGTGTGAGATGTAAGAGCTTGTGTTGGAGTGGAGTCATGTGCGAGATGTAAGAGCTTGTGTGTGAGAGGGAGTCATGTGTGAGATGTAAGAGCTTGTGTGTGAGAGGGAGTCATGTGTGAGATGTAAGAGCTTGTGTGTGAGAGGGAGTCATGTGTGAGATGTAAGAGCTTGTGTGTGAGAGGGAGTCATGTGTGAGATGTAAGAGCTTGTGTGTGAGAGGAGAGTCATGTGTGAGATGTAAGAGCTTGTGTGTGAGAGGGAGTCATGTGTGAGATGTAAGAGCTTCATGTGTGAGAGGAGTCAATGTGTGAGATGTAAGAGCTTGTGTGAGAGGGAGTCATGTGTGAGATGTAAGAGCTTGTGTGTGAGAGGGGGTCATGTGTGAGATTGTAAGAGCTTGTGTGTGAGAGGGAGTCATGTGTGAGATGTGAGAGGGAGTCATGTGTGAGATGTAAGAGCTTGTGTGTGAGAGGGAGTCATGTGTGAGATGTAAGAGCTTGTGTGTGAGAGGGAGTCATGTGTGAGATGTAAGAGCTTGTGTGTGAGAGGGAGTCATGTGTGAGATGTGAGAGGAAGTCATGTGTGAGATGTAAGAGCTTCATGTGTGAGAAGGAGTATGTGTGAGATGTAAGAGCTTCATGTGTGAGAAGGAGTATGTGTGAGATGTAAGAGCTTGTATGTGAGAGGGAGTCATGTGTGAGATGTAAGAGCTTGTGTGTGAGAGGGAGTCATGTGTGAGATGTAAGAGCTTGTGTGTGAGAGGGAGTCATGTGTGAGATGTGAGAGGGAGTCATGTGTGAGATGTAAGAGCTTGTGTGTGAGAGGAGTCATGTGTGAGATGTAAGAGCTTGTGTGTGAGAGGGAGTCATGTGTGAGAGTAAGAACTTGTGTGTGAGAGGGAGTCATGTGTGAGATTTAAGAGCTTGTGTGTGAGAGGGGGTCATGTGTGAGATGTAAGAGCTTGTGTGTGAGAGGGAGTCATGTGTGAGATGTAAGAGCTTGTGTGTGAGAGGGAGTCGTGTGTGAGAGGGAGTCATGTGTGAGAGGGAGTCATGTGTGAGAGGGAGTCATGTGTGAGATGTAAGAGCTTGTGTGTGAGAGGGAGTCATGTGTGAGATGTGAGAGGGAGTCATGTGTGAGATGTGAGAGGGAGTCATGTGTGAGATGTGAGAGGGAGTCATGTGTGAGATGTGAGAGGGAGTCATGTGTGAGATGTGAGAGGGAGTCATGTGTGAGATGTGAGAGGGAGTCATGTGTGAGATGTGAGAGGGAGTCATGTGTGAGATGTAAGAGCTTCATGTGTGAGAGGGAGTCATGTGTGAGATGTATGAGGTTGTGTGTGAGAGGGAGTCATGTGTGAGATGTAAGAGCTGTGTGTGAGGGAGTCATGTGTGAGATGCAAGAGCTTGTGTGTGAGAGGGAGTCATGTGTGGATGTAAGAGCTTCATGTGTGAGAAGGAGAATGTGTGAGATGTTAGTTTAATAGTTAGTTTAATATGTTTATTATGCACCCATACCCATCCTGTGGGCGGTAGTCAAAAGATTACAGAGGTACATAATTGGTCCAGGGACTGGACTCCAAAGTTTTGATAGCTGAGCAAGTTACAGAACTTTGGAGTCCAGTCCTGGACCAATTATGTACCTCTGTAATCTTTTGACTACCGCCCACAGGATGGGTATGGGGTGCATAATAAACATATTAAACTACTATTAAACTAACATCTCACACTACTCCTTCTCACACATGAGCTCTTACATCTCACACATACTCTTCTCACACATGAAGCTCTTACATCTCACACATGACTCCTCTCACACACAAGCTCTTGCATCTCACACATGAGATGTAAGAGCTTGTGTGTGAGAGGGAGTCATGTGTGAGATGTAAGAGCTTGTGTGTGAGAGGGAGTCATGTGTGAGATGTAAGAGCTTGTATGTGAGAGGGAGTCATGTGTGAGATGTAAGAGCTTCATGTGTGAGATGTAAGAGCTTGTGTGTGAGAGGGAGTCATGTGTGAGATGTAAGAGCTTGTTTGTGAGAGGGAGTCATGTGTGAGATGTAAGAGCTTGTGTGTGAGAGGGAGTCATGTGTGAGAAGTAAGAGTTGTGTGTGAGAGGGAGTATGTGTGAGATGTAAGAGCTTGTGTGTGAGAGGGAGTCATGTGTGAGATGTAAGAGCTTGTGTGTGAGAGGGAGTCATGTGTGAGATGTAAGAGCTTGTGTGTGAGAGGGAGTCATGTGTGAGATGTGAGAGGGAGTCATGTGTGAGATGTAAGAGCTTCATGTGTGAGAAGGAGTATGTGTGAGATGTAAGAGCTTCATGTATGAGAAGGAGTATGTGTGAGATGTAAGAGCTTCATGTGTGAGAAGGAGTATGTGTGAGATGTAAGAGCTTGTGTGTGAGAGGGAGTTATGTGTGAGATGTAAGAGCTTGTGTGTGAGAGGGAGTCATGTGCGAGATGTAAGAGCTTGTGTGTGAGAGGGAGTCATGTGTGAGATGTAAGAGCTTGTGTGTGAGAGGGAGTCATGTGTGAGATGTAAGAGCTTGTGTGTGAGAGGGAGTCATGTGTGAGATGTAAGAGCTTGTGTGTGAGAGGGAGTCATGTGTGAGATGTAAGAGCTTGTGTGTGAGAGGGAGTCATGTGTGAGATGTAAGAGCTTGTGTGTGAGAGGGAGTCATGTGTGAGATGTAAGAGCTTGTGTGTGAGAGGGAGTCATGTGTGAGATGTAAGAGCTTGTGTGTGAGAGGGAGTCATGTGTGAGATGTAAGAGCTTGTGTGTGAGAGGGAGTCATGTGTGAGATGTAAGAGCTTCATGTGTGAGAGGGAGTCATGTGTGAGATATAAGAGCTTGTGTGTGAGAGGGAGTCATGTGTGAGATGTAGAGCTTGTGTGTGAGAGGGAGTCATGTGTGAGATGTAAGAGCTTGTGTGTGAGAGGGAGTCATGTGTGAGATGTAAGAGCTTGTGTGTGAGAGGGAGTCATGTGTGAGATGTAAGAGCTTCATGTGTGAGAGGGAGTCATGTGTGAGATGTAAGAGCTTGTGTGAGAGGGAGTCATGTGTGAGATGTAAGAGCTTGTGTGTGAGAGGGGGTCATGTGTGAGATGTAAGAGCTTGTGTGTGAGAGGGAGTCATGTGTGAGATGTGAGAGGGAGTCATGTGTGAGATGTAAGAGCTTCATGTGTGAGAAGGAGTATGTGTGAGATGTAAGAGCTTCATGTGTGAGAAGGAGTATGTGTGAGATGTAAGAGCTTCATGTGTGAGAAGGAGTATGTGTGAGATGTAAGAGCTTGTATGTGAGAGGGAGTCGTGTGTGAAAGGGAGTCGTGTGTGAAAGGGAGTCGTGTGTGAGAGGGAGTCATGTGTGAGATGTAAGAGCTTGTGTGTGAGAGGGAGTCATGTGTGAGATGTAAGAGCTTGTGTGTGAGAGGGAGTCATGTGTGAGAGGGAGTCATGTGTGAGATGTAAGAGCTTGTGTGTGAGAGGGAGTCATGTGTGAGAGGGAGTCATGTGGTGAGTGTAAGAGCTTGTGTGTGAGAGGGAGTCATGTGTGAGATGTAAGAGCTTGTGTGTGAGAGGGAGTCATGTGTGAGATGTGAGAGGGAGTCAGTGTGGATGTAAGAGCTTCATGTGTGAGAAGGAGTATGTGTGAGATGTAAGAGCTTCATGTGTGAGGAGGAGTATGTGTGAGATGTAAGAGCTTGTATGTGAGAGGGAGTCATGTGTGAGATGTGAGAGGGAGTCATGTGTGAGATGTAAGAGCTTGTGTGTGAGAGGGAGTCATGTGTGAGATGTGAGAGGGAGTCATGTGTGAGATGTAAGAGCTTGTGTGTGAGAGGGAGTCATGTGTGAGATGTAAGAGCTTGTGTGTGAGAGGGAGTCATGTGTGAGATGTAAGAACTTGTGTGTGAGAGGGAGTCATGTGTGAGATGTAAGAGCTTGTGTGTGAGAGGGGGTCATGTGTGAGATGTAAGAGCTTGTGTGTGAGAGGGAGTCATGTGTGAGATGTAAGAGCTTGTGTGTGAGAGGGAGTCGTGTGTGAGAGGGAGTCATGTGTGAGAGGGAGTCATGTGTGAGATGTAAGAGCTTGTGTGTGAGAGGGAGTCATGTGTGAGATGTGAGAGGGAGTCATGTGTGAGATGTAAGAGCTTCATGTGTGAGATGTAAGAGCTTCATGTGTGAGAAGGAGTATGTGTGAGATGTAAGAGCTTCATGTGTGAGGAGTATGTGTGAGATGTAAGAGCTTGTGTGTGAGAGGGAGTCATGTGTGAGATGTGAGAGGGAGTCATGTGTGAGATGTGAGAGGGAGTCATGTGTGAGATGTAAGAGCTTCATGTCTGAGAAGGAGTATGTGTGAGATGTAAGAGCTTGTGTGTGAGAGGGAGTCATGTGTGAGATGTAAGAGCTTGTGTGTGAGAGGGAGTCATGTGTGAGATGTAAGAACTTGTGTGTGAGAGGGAGTCATGTGTGAGATGTAAGAGCTTGTGTGTGAGAGGGAGTCGTGTGTGAGAGGGAGTCATGTGTGAGATGCAAGAGCTTCATTTGAGAGGGAGTCATGTGTGAGATGTAAGAGCTTCATTTGAGAGGGAGTCATGTGTGAGATGTAAGAGCTTCATGTGTGTGAGGGAGTCATGTGTGAGATGTAAGAGCTTCATGTGTGAGAGGGAGTCATGTGTGAGATGTAAGAGGTTCATGTGTGAGAGGGAGTCATGTGTGAGACGTAAGAGCTTGTGTGAGGGAGTCATGTGTGAGAGGGAGTCATGTATGAGATATGAGCCTCATACATATGTGTGGGAGTCATGTATGAGATATGAGCCTCATACATATGTGAGGGAGTCATGTATGAGATATAACAGCCTGATACAAAAATGAGAGGGAGTCATGTATAAAGATGAGATAATCAGCTGATCCCACCATGATTACCTAGCCAACTGCCTCCAACACTGAACTATTTAACTACCTTACTCACCTGTGAGGGCTAGTGTTGTAGCTCAGCTAGGTCAGAGGTGATGGCAGCAGCAGTAACAGTAGCAAGGTAAGGTGAGGGAGGAGTGGAGGAGCAGCAAGGCTGCCTCCATCACCTGATAAACAAGGAAATATGGCTGCATCAACCACTGTGTTGCGTAGTTCTCTCTTCTTGACGGGATCCCTATAGCTATCTATATATCCCTAATATGATGTATTATGCTATGGTTTCTAACTTAATATTAATTATTTATTAATTTAGCACTATTTTAGGCCTTTAAAAGTCATGTGGCTAATGCAAATACCGTGGAAGTTCAACAGCTCACTTTGTTATAACTTCTGTATATTATAACTTGAATATTTCATACTTGTTCTTATTAAATTAAGCAAAATTCTTTCTCAAATAATCACGTGATTGCTATAAAACACGATAAAAATAGTTTAAATCCACTACATTAAGAACTACAACAAAAGGTGAAGAGACATGGCAACTATGACTAAGATATTTTTTTTTTTCATTTTCTTGTGTGGAATTTGTTACATCATTATGATACGTGTTATCTGAATAACCATCACCTGTCTGTTAGAGACTATAATACATCTACCTCTCACTGTAATCTACTCAAAAAATATATATTTTAAACACTGATAAACAATAGAAACGGATCTTGAGGCTAACTTAATGTATTTGACATTATAGAAGGTTAAAGTAAGACTTAAAGTATGTTTACCTAACATTACCATCAACCTACATGGTTATTTTTCTCTTACTCTCTGACTTATATCAGGTTATTGTGGGGTTATTTTTCCTGAGTATAACCCCTTCAAGGGAGGTTCCTTGATGCTGGTCAGGGGCTCTTGATCTAGGGAACTGGATCTGTGCTCCAGTTCCCTGAACTGTCTGAATACCTTCCATTCTTCCCCACTATAAGCGCCTACGGGCTTAGCGCTCCCCCATGATTATAATAATAATCGTGAATATAGCACTATTCATTTATTGGCTGCAATGTTCGCCATCTGGGAAATTTCACAAGGACATTGACGCCATAATCAGAAATTTGAAATGGTTTAAAATAGACTGTCGTCGTATATGGGGAATTAGAGACATGTACAACATCTGCGTATTATTATTTGTAGACGTTTCGCCAGCCAGTAACTTTATCAGTACAAGGACATAATGTGAAGATCTTTATACGAAAGACAGGTAATCAGTCCCTCAACCTTGGAGTTGGTGAATTATCACAGGGAAGCGCTAAACCCGTAGGGTTATACAGTACCTGTGGGGGGGGGGATGGAAGGTATTCAGGCTCAATACAGGGAACCGGAGCACAGATCCAATTCCCTAGATCAAGAGCCCCCACCAGCGTCAAGGAACCTCCCTTGAAGGAGGAGTTGGTGAAGACCGGGTATACACTAATACAGGAAATAATAATAATAATAATAATAATAATAATAATAATAATAATAATAATAATATCTTTATATGTATTACCTGGAGTTTACCTGGAGAGAGTTCCGGGGGCCAACGCTCCCGCGGCCCGGTCTGTGACCAGGCCTCCTGGTGGATCAGAGCCTGATCAACCAGGCTGTTACTGCTGGCTGCACGCAATCCAACGTACGAGCAACAGCCCGGCTGGTCAGGTACCAACTTTAGGTGCTTGTCCAGTGCCTACTTGAAGACTGTCAGGGGTCTATTGGTAATCCCCCTTATGTATGCTGGGATGCAGTTGAACAGTCTCGGGCCCCTGACATTTATTGTATTGTCTCTTAACGTGCTAGTGACACCCCTGCTTTTCATTGGGGGGATGTTGCATCGTCTGCCGAGTCTTTTGCTTTCGTTGTGAGTTATTTTTGTGTGCAAGTTCGGTACTAGTCCCTCTAGGATTTTCCAGGTGTATATGATCATGTATCTCTCCCGCCTGCGTTCCAGGGAGTACAGGTTCAGGAACTTCAAGCGCGTTAAGAGACCATACAATAAGTGTCAGGGGCCCGAGACTGTTCAACTGCCTCCCAGCACACATAAGGGGGATTACCAACAGACACCTGGCAGTCTTCAAGCTGGCACTGGACAAGCACCTAAAGTCAGTTCCAGATCAGCCGGGCTGTGGCTCGTATGTTGGTTTGCGTGCAGCCAGCAGCAACAGCCTGGTTGATCAGGCTCTGATCCACCAGGAGGCCTGGTCTCAGACCGGGCCGCGGGGGCGTTGACCCCCGGAACTCTCTCCAGGTAAACTCCAGGTAAACTCCAGGCTCCCAGTAATTGAGCTGTTTTATCTCCGTTATGCGCGCCGTGAAGGTTCTCTGTACATTTTCTAGGTCAGCAATTTCACCTGCCTTGAAAGGTGCTGTTAGTGTGCAGCAATATTCCAGCCTAGATAGAACAAGCGACCTGAAGAGTGTCATCATGGGCTTGGCATCCCTAGTTTTGAAGGTTCTCATTATCCATCCTGTCATTTTTCTAGCAGATGCGATTGATACAATGAAGGTGAGATCCTCCGACATGATCACTCCCAAGTCTTTGATGTTGGTTTTTCGCTCTATTTTGTGGCCGGAATTTGTTTTGTACTCTGATGAAGTTTTAATTTCCTCATGTTTACCATAAGGAAATATATATATATATATATATATATATATATATATATATATATATATATATATATATATATACTTCTAAACTGTTGTATTTTGAGCACCTCTGCAAAAACAGTGATTATGTGTGAATGAGGTGAAAGTGTTGAATGATGATGAAAGCATTTTCTTTTTGGGGATTTTCTTTCTTTTTGGGTCACCCTGCCTCGGTGGGAGACGGCCGACTTGTTAAAAATAATAATAATAATATCTTTATTTCTACAAGTACATGCACAAAGTATACAGATCTAACTGACATCACTAAATAGAAATCTGCTTGTTATGCAGGGCATTTCCCCCAAATTAGGTCAGTTTTGCCCCAGGATGCGACACACACCAGTCCACTAACACCCAGGTACCCAGTATTACTGATGGGTGAGAATGGACAACCAGTGTAAGGAAACGCCCAATGTTTCTAACCTTTGCTGGGAATCGAAACTGCAGATCTGGAGAATATACAGAGAACTTTCGTTGTACGTATACGTACAATAGAGCATCTAGATTACTGGGAATGACTGAAGTCCCTTGCACTCACTGGAATGCAGGAGTGGAAGATGAATGATAATGTACACTTAGAAAATCTTAGAGGGACTAGTCCCAAATCTACACACGGAAATCGCTCCCTACGAAAGCATAAGACTCGGCAGGAGATACAACATCCCTCCAATGAATAGCAGGGGCGCCACGAGTATGCTAAGAGACAATATAAGTGTTCAACTGCCTCCCAGCATACATAAGGGGGATAACCAATAGACCCCTAGCTGTCTTCAAGAAGGCACTGGACAGGCACCTAAGACAGTACCTGACCAGCTGGCTGTGGTTCGTACGTCAGTTTGCGTGCGGCCAGCAGTAACAGCCTGGTTGATCAGGCCCTGATGCACCACGAGGCCGAGGCCTACTCATAGACCAGGCCGCGGGGACGTTGACCCCCGGAAAACCCTCCAGGTATATTCTAGGTATTCTAATAATTCTTCAGGAACAACATTGTTTTGATCACCAGGCAGCCGCCTCAGTTCTATTATGACATTGATTTCACGTATTCTATCAGCAATACTAAGTATATATGATTCTTTCCTCAGCACAGAATAATTTTAAGGGCTTGGTTTTGTATTTTTCTAATCTTTCAATGTTTCTACTGTATTGCAGGACAAACTAACGATCTTATGTATGCATGGGGCTCAACAACAATTAACCATCTCAGACCACTAATTACCCAACAAAAGGCTGCAGTTAGAATGATAACAAATTCTCACTACAGGCAGCACACTCCACCAATATTCAATACACTAAACCTACTCACCATACAAAACATCCATACTTATTACTGCACCTATTACATACATAGAACACTTAACTCTGATATTAACCCTCCCCTCAAACATCTCCTTGCCAACCTCAACAGAACACATGACCATAACACAAGGCACAGATCACTCTTTGATGTTCCTCGTGTCCATCTCACACTATGCAAAAACTCAATGCACATAAAAGGCCCTAAAATCTGGAATTCATTACCTGTAAATATAAAAGAAACACTACCTGTTTATAAATTCAAGTCTCTTCTCAAAGATCACTTACTCACCCAAAACCAAATAAATACTGAATAACTGAACATTATAAATTGTATATCTTAAATGTTTCTCACAATTATATCACATAAATGTTAAACCTAAAACCCAATCTAACTTTATTATTTTTTAAATACACTACCTAACAGAATCACTACCTAACTGAATGCAACCATATGACCTGTCTTTGTAATACTCACTTGTGCTTTATAGTTATCTGTTTACATTAATGTTTTATCACTGAATTCATCATTGCTTAGTAGCAGCGCTGTATAGTCCTTGTGGCTTAGCGCTTCTTTTTGATTATAATAATAATAATCATTGCTTAGTTAATCTTAAGTTAATTTTAAGCCAGCCCGTAATGCTATGCATAGTATAAGTGGCTTTGGCATGCTGCTCTTATCTGTATTTTTTTTGTACCTCTGTATGTGTGCACAAATTGGAAATAAATAAATAAATAAATAAAACTAAGTACATCATAACATTTGCACCATATCTGGAATTATACCCGACAACAGTTCTGATAGACTTAACTCTATCCTTACATTGTTGGTTAATTATTTTAGCAACACATATGTGATCCACAGGGACACAGGACACTAATGAATTGGGTCAATAAATAACAAAAAAAGGCACAATACCGTGATTGGAACGATACACAAATAACCCGCACAATAGAGCGAAACACCAACGTCAAAGACCTGGGAGTGATTATGTCGGAGGATCTCACCTTCAAGGACCATAACATTGTATCAATCGCATCTGCTAGAAAAATGACAGGATGGATAATGAGAACCTTCAAAACTAGGGAGGCCAAGCCCATGATGACACTCTTCAGGTCACTTGTTCTATCTAGGCTGGAATATTGCTGCACTCTAACAGCACCTTTCAAGGCAGGTGAAATTGCCGACCTAGAAAATGTACAGAGAACTTTCACGGCGCGCATAACGGAGATAAAACACCTCAATTACTGGGAGCGCTTGAGGTTTCTAAACCTGTATTCCCTGGAACGCAGGAGGGAGAGATACATGATTATATACACCTGGAAAATCCTAGAGGGACTAGTACCGAACTTGCACACGAAAATCACTCACTACGAAAGCAAAAGACTTGGCAGACGATGCACCATCCCCCCAATGAAAAGCAGGGGTGTCACTAGCACGTTAAGAGACCATACAATAAGTGTCAGGGGCCCGAGACTGTTCAACTGCCTCCCAGCACACATAAGGGGGATTACCAACAGACCCCTGGCAGTCTTCAAGCTGGCACTGGACAAGCACCTAAAGTCAGTTCCTGATCAGCCGGGCTGTGGCTCGTACGTTGGTTTGCGTGCAGCCAGCAGCAACAGCCTGGTTGATCAGGCGCTGATCCACCAGGAGGCCTGGTCACAGACCGGGCCGCGGGGGCGTTGACCCCCGAAACTCTCTCCAGGTAAACTCCAGGTAAACATGAAAGAGAGGAGCTTACGACGATGACGTCGTCGTAAGCTTCTCTCTTTCATGTACGGGTTATTTGTGTATGAATTGGGTCAATGCACAAATAGTTATAGCATAACCAGATCTCAATGGACGCCATTGCTTGGAAGATTCTCTAATTTCAGTAACAAACACAGCCATAAAAGTATGAGGTTACAAGATTGCTACCACTTTAGTACACATGATCATCAACGATCATCATCTTGCCAGACACGGCCGTCAGATGAACACCCACTATACCTCACTTCTAGTCAGGGGTCTTCCCAACTATCTAACCACACGCAGACAAGACATAATGTGGGTTATGAGGTTTTATTGGAAAACCTTTTCGTCGACTAGGGACTTGAACAATTCACACGGAGAATAAGAAAACATCGAACTTCCTTTAATTTTAGTCTAAGTTTCTTCCCCCCGAACACTGGAAGGCAGGGATCGATACGGCATAAGCTGTATAGTCCTTGTGGCTTAGCGCTTCTTTTTTGATTATAATATAATATAGATACGGCATAAGCTGTCAGTGGCCATAAAAAACAACAAAAAAAGATCAATAAAGATTCTTAGCGTTGCAAAAGCGTCTTATTAACAATAAACATCTTGGAAGCGGACTTCTGCGCTGGCCTTGGTTCAAGTCAAGAGTCAGGGTGAACGTCTCGCTCTACTCTTCCCTTGTGCAACGAATCACCAAGGTAGTATTCTGGGTCCCTTATTATTCCTATATTATGTAAACGACATGCCCATGGACATGGACTTTGGAGTCCAGTCCCTGGACCAATTATGTACCTCTGCAATCTTTTGACTACCGCCCACAGGATGGGTATGGGGTGCATAATAAAGATATTAACCTAACTAACCATCAATGTCAAGTGCAAACTCCTACTGTGTGCGGATGACAGTGCTCTGTTAGTGTCAGGGAAAGACCCACAAAATATAGCTAATGTAATAATACTGGAACTGGAGCCCTGCAGCAAATGGCTAGTAGACAACAAACTATCATTACACCTCGGTAAAAATAAAGCCATACTATTTGGCACGAAACAAACTGAGAAGGGCAGAAAATTTTAATGTCCAGTGTAATGGGGAGCCCATCACTTCAGTTTCCTCAGTAAAATATCTGGGAATCCCCTTTGACCCATGCATGTCAGGAGAACTGATAGGGAACAGTGTAGTAAAGAAAGCGAATGCCGGACTGAAGTTCCTCTATAGACAAGCACAGTGTCTACCTACTGAGGCTCGCAGGACCCTATGTCTAGCCCTTGTATAGTGTCATATGGATTACTCTTTCTCCTCATGCTACTCTGCCTTGACAAAAAAAAAAATGAAAGACAGACTGAGACAGACTGCAAATCACTCAGAACAAAATGGTAAGATTCATCCTGGACCTGGGTCCAAGAGAACATGTAGGCCAGGATGAATTACAGCAGTTGGATATGCAGAATGCTGAAGACAGTAAAGCAACTGAAGTTAAATCAAATTTATAAAATTGCTCACATTGTCCAGAATATCTTGCTGCCAACTGCGTCAAGGTTGGGAACCAAAGCAATCATAGTACTAGGGGGAGAGAGCACAACTTTGTAGTACTTTCAGTCAGTGGCCAGGCTTCAAACACCTTTTATTGTACAGCAATAAAGAAATGGAACAGACTGTCTGCACATGTCAAAGCCAGTCATAACATGAACCAGTTCAAGAAGAGTGCCAAAAGGTGTCTAATGAATGTAGCAACAGAAAGGGAGGAGAATGATTTTTTGTATTTTTTAGCTAACACACATGTAAACATAAATAACTCGTTTTACCTTATTCCTAGTATATCTTCTTTACAGTATAATAATAAAATATCTCCTTTATAGTATAATAATCAGGTATTAAAAGGGCCCCAATAGAAACAAGTCATTTTGTCTGACATTTTTGGGTTATCCCAGGTTCTCCACACATATGCTGCTATGTATGATAATCTATGTAACTGTATTTGTGTATACCTGAATAAACTTACTTATTCTCTGCCAGAGATGTTTGTCCTCGCCATCAGCCCTTGATTGAACTGTACTCAGGCGATACTACTAACTAACCATCAACTCTCTGGGCTATTAGTTGGTTAGTTGTGCCTCCCTGAGTTGCTAGTTTATTTGTATACTTTTAAGAGGCTCGTGAGTTTCCCTGTCTCCTAATACCATGTTTATTTTTCCCCTATAATCTACTTTGTACATAATTACTATCGCATTTGCTTTGTCTGCTTTCGTAAGGTGAAGTCCAGGATCTTTCCATAATTCATGGTATAACTTAACAAATCTTTGATAACTGTGTTGCAGAGGTGTGAGGTGTGCTCACACCTCTGCAACACAGTTATTGTTATTAGAAGGCAAGGGAACAGATGTGCCCCTTAAGTCATCCTTTGAGCTGTAGCACACATAAAAACAGTATTACAGAGGTCACAATTGGTCTTTGTGAGTCCCCACTGAACATTGATATATTACTAGAAAGAAATATTAGTCGTTTAATATTTTACGATTACTTCATATAGTTGTAGACAGTAAATAAGAAATAGTCTAAAAAAGATATCCAATTACCACTTTTTTTTTAAATTTCTCTTTATAGTTACTGTGCATAGCACGGAAAATAATACAATCTAAAAAGACTTCTAATTACCGCTAAATATTTTGATCGTAATTACTTCATATAATTATTGGACAGAGAATAGTAAGGAACAGTTGAGGCGTCAAACATCACCTCAAGGTATAATAAAAGCCTGCTGTGGTTGACTCAAATTGGCCATGAGAGCTTCTCTCTGATTTTTACCGAAGGTTCTTGCAAGATGATCCATCTGACCTGATTGGCAACTTATTGTTTCCCTTTCTCTTTCCGGAGAAAATCTTGTTTCCTCTATCATTCCCACCCAGATTTAAGCAATATATTTTCCCGGACTCCCGGGAGGCAAGGTTCAATAAGGTGGAAGTTTTGGTAGTCCTTAAAAACCAACAACAACACCATCTTGGAAATTTTAGCAAAGCAATAAGTGTATTTCTTTAAAAATCTCTCTAAGGTATGTAATTAAGGGGCCGGAGTGTACAGTTAATAAGTGTCATGTGTACCCGATGCTGATTAACGACCTTTGATAGAAGGCAACGGGTTTATCACTGCTCCCATGAATATAATAAGATAAACTGTAGTTGTCCTCCCCTTCATAAGGGTTTTCCATGATAATAATAATTATCATTATTATTATTCAGCATTGCATGTCCCTTGTGGGTTTAGTACCTTGCTTTTATTATACTAATTTATAGTTTTACTATTATTATTGTTTTTACTATTATTAATTTATATTTTTACTAAATAATAAATTAATAATATTAATATTAATAATAATAATAATATTATTATTATTATAATAATAATTATTATTATTATAATTATAATTTTTATTATAATTATAATAATTATTATTATTATTATTATTATTATTATTATTATTATTATTATTATTATTATTATTAATAGTAATATTAATAATAATAATAATATTATTATTATAATTATTATTATTATTATTATTATTATTATTATTATTATTATTATTATTATTATTATTATTATTATTATTATTATTATTATTGTGAGGTCTCCCTAGAGACCTCACAATCCCATCTGAACTGCATCACAAGTAAAGTAAGCAAATAAACAAGCAAACAAGCAAGTAAAAGTAAGTAAGTAAGTCAGGAAGTAAGTGAATAACCAAGTAAGGAATTGTTTTAATTAAGTTTACATATATAACATTCAAATAACGTTTTTTACATTGGCTTTATATTTAGCATTACAAAAATTTGACTGAAGACAGCATTTATATGATAAAACTAACATAAGCTATATTTCTGTTCTGTGCATATGCTTTTAGCGCTCTTCTTTGTCACATTAATGGACTCTTAATCCAAGGAAATGGAGAGTCATTCTCTTTCTGCCAAATTGAGATAGATATATTGTGTAATTGTACTTAAAGGTACCCAAAATTATATTTATTTAAGTACTAGTACACATAAGTATGTTTATTTAGGTACTGGTACACATAAGTATGTTTATTTAGGTACTGGTACACATAAGTATGTTTATTTAGGTACTGGTACACATAAGTATGTTTATTTAGGTACTGATACACATAAGTATGTTTATTTAGGTACTGTACACATAAGTATGTTTATTTAGGTACTGGTACACATAAGTATGTTTATTTAGGTACTGATACACATAAGTATGTTTATTTAGGTACTGTACACATAAGTATGTTTATTTAGGTACTGGTACACATAAGTATGTTTATTTAGGTACTGATACACATAAGTATGTTTATTTAGGTACTGGTACACATAAAGTTTCCATAAGTAAAATCATCATGCATAGTAACATATATGTAAATTTTCTAGGATAACCAAAAAAGTCAGTGACATATTTCCATTAAACTCCCATATGCTAATTAGGTGAAGGATTGTGTCAGACAATGTGAGTGAACTTGTGACCATTGCATACCATTGCATGAGCAGAGACAGTGAACAGTATTGAGTGGAAGCTGTTTGGTGGTGTGAGATAACAGTAATGGTACAGTGCCAGATGTTATACTCTGGTATAAAAGGTTAGATGTTATTACAGTGAACCCTCAGTTTGACGGACTTTGATTTAATGGACCTCTAAAAATTGGGACAACATTTGCTGGGTCATTTGATTTGGATACAATGGATAAAGTCTGTCACTTACAGAATTGTACATTATTGTTATGACCATGGTAAAACAATCTCATCTCTGTCTATCGCAGTCTCCATTATTGGCCACCCACTTTGCCCATTAGTTCAGTAAATTTATTTTACATTGTTCCTGTAATATTTTTTCTTTCTTTGTCAGTGGGTGCTTTATTAGTTCCTGAAAACTGGAAATGGAATAGGAATACTGATATCTTATATCATACAAGCATTTCATAACATTAATTTATTGTGATAAATGAAACACTTGTACTGTACAATATTTGGGTACCCTTATTTCCAGAATAAATATAACCAGATGTTGCACAAGTGTCACATTTATCAACTTGTTGGTTTTCAAAACCATTTATGTATTCACATTAATGTATCTTTTTTTATTCCAGTACCTGTAATTAATCATGTCGGAAGACCGTCCAGTTAAAAGAATCCCCAGTATCTTTGACTCTGAGGATGACAGTGACGATGAACCGCCGTCTCCTGTGATATTTAGACCCAAGGTTCCACTGCCAGCAACAGTAACTACAAATGACATCAGTGAACCACCAGCTACAAAGCTGCCTGTTGTTAGCGAATCATCAGAGAGTGAAGACAGTGAGGCAGAGCTGGTGGTGAAGTCGCAAGCTGTGGCAGAAACTGCCAGTCCTTCCAAAGATGGCCTCTCTTCTCATGAAGAGAGTGATGATTCTGAGGATGAAACTGAAGCAAAAAAATTGGACTTCAGTACTGCAGTAATGAAAGAAAGTCATGATGATGATGGTGATGATGATGATGATGATGATAATGATGATGATGATGATGATGATGATGATGATGATGATGATGATGAAGATGGTGATGAAGATGAGGATGATGGTTTAAATATTAGTGATTCCAGTCATGAAAATATAGAAGGTAGTGATGCTAATAAAGAATATGAAAATGACGATAATAATATGATAGATGAGGAAGAGGATGATGATAATGATGATGATGATGATGATGACACTGATGATGATGAGGATGAGGATGATGATGAGGATGATGATGAAGAGCTAAATAAAAGTGGCTCTAGCCTTGATATAGATGGGGAAGAGAGTGACACTAAAGATGGTAGAGAATTTGAAAAAGGCTCATTTCCAAGTAAGATTGAAGGCATTGGTGAGAATATCAAAGAAGATAATTATATTGATAATGAAGCTATGGATTTTAATTGTGATAAAGAAAAAAGTATTGACAAAGAAGAAAATACTAGTGGTACTCTATATGATATAAAAAAATGTATAGACAGTGGAAAGGAAGCAAAGGCATTAGTAATAGAGAAAGACACTGGAAGTGAGAACAGGGAAAAGGAAGTTGTAAGCCATGACACAGTTGACTTAATGGAAGTTGATGACTCCGAATCAAAACATGTCGAGAAGGTTAAGAAACTAACAGATAAAGCTGACATAAAGCTAACACAAATGGAAGTTGTTGAGACATTAACAGATGTTGATACAAAGCCCGACATAAAACTAACACATTTGGAAGCTGAGACATTAATAGATGTTGATACAAAACCAACACACAAGAAATATAACGAAAAATCTGTTAGTGTGACCGAAAATGTTGACATTGAAATGGAAGATGTTGATAGAGAAAATAGTCCAGACAGTGATGGCACATCATTATCAGAAAGAAAAATGGATGAAGTAGCTAAAGACAGTGAAATTGAAGGTATGGAGTCAATGGAAAAAGATGAAAATAATTTTCCAAAAGATGCAGAGAAAGAAGAAAAGAAAAACATTGAAGACATTGTTGAGAAAGAGGATAAAAATTCTCAAGGCGAGAAAGAACAGGAAATTGTAAGTACTGATGCATTTGACACTAAGGAAGAGGAGGCAATGGAAATTGCAACAGAAGAGGAAGACAGTTCATTGCTCCATAAAGAAGGGGATGAAATTAATGAAGCTTCTGAAAGAGAGAAACATGATGAAGTTAAAGAGAAAGATGAACATAGAGAGTTAAAAGAGCAAGATATACACAAAGAGCTAAAAGAACAAAACATACATAAAGAGCTTAAAACACAAGATGTACATACAAAGCTCAAAGAAAACAATAAACATATAGAGGTTAAAGAGAAAGATCATTGTATAGAGTTTGAAGAGAAGGATGAACATATAGAGATTAAAAAGAAAGAGGAACATATGGAGGTTAAAGAGAAAGATGAATATACAGAGGTTAAAGAAAAAGAGAGTGAGTGTACAGAGATGAAAGAGAAAGATGATGAGAAAGACACCTCTGTAGAGGAGGAAGAGGAGATTGGTAGAAATGTTGAGGCTACTAAGCAACAAAATGTGAGCACTGAAGATGAAAAAATGAAGGAAAAAGATGTGAAGCTCTTGGAAGGTGGAGATCGTAGCAAAGTTACTTCAGCTGATGAAAATGAACCAGAGAAAGTGGTATCTATATCACAACAAGTACAGAAAACAAAAACCGTGAAAGGCTCTTTCTGTGCAAATGTGGATATGGAAAAATCCACAAATTATAAGGTATGTATGCTCTGCAATATGGTTAGTTTTTTTTTTTCTTTTTACATCAGAAGCAATTTTGTATCATAATTTACATCAATCACAAGAGTGGTTTCATTGGTTCTAATGCAGAGATCTCTAAGAAAGGAGTATATATAGTGGTTGTAGATGAAAATTGTGGCTTCTGGTTCTAATTATTGGTCTCAAAAAATCTGTTTTTGTGTCCTGCAGTAAATTTAAAGTTTTTCATCTTCATGTATTATTGACTTTCATCTAGTACATTTCTAGGGATTGTAATTCATGTTGCTTTATTTTGGAATTCATTTTTTTTTGTATGTCTTTGTTTGATAAAGGTGACACTGTTCGCAGCCACATACAAATACAGTTTATTATGGAGCAGAACAAGAGGTGGGATGATGATGGTGATGATGAAATACTATAATGTGATCAGCTTTTTATTAACATGTGTGTGATTTGAACTTACTACAAGAACAATGTAACTTTTCCAGAAGTCAAAAGGTGCAGGTGATAAAATATCTGCTTCTGTAGGAAGAGAAGCAGCACCACCATTAGTACGGATCCCAGTGAAGGTAGAGGATGTCTACACTGACTCAGAAGAAGAAAAAGAAGATAGTCAAGGTATTGTTTAGATATTCTAGCCATGCCCTTACTATAGCTGGAAATTTATTCTAAGGGTATAAATTTAAATAAAGTTGAATTTCTTCACAATATGAAAGTGTTTCCTGAGAAACAAGTATCTTTCTGATTTTATGACCAGTACCTTAATGGTAGGTCATTCAACTCACAACCAAGTGGACCTGGGTGTGATATGTGGGGGGAAAGAAGTCAAGATTTATGAATTGGCATTCTGGGTTAGTCTGGGCTAATGAATAAGACACATGTGCAGAGTAAACAGTTATAAGAAGATTCATAAGAAGACCGGTACTTATTTGGTGATTAATAGAGAGTGATTGGATTAGGAAGATAAATAGAAATGTATTACCACACAGACTGCAGTCAGGAAAGAGGCTACATTTCAGATGTCAGGAATTGTGGTCCTGTGCTTCATTTTTTTTTTTTTTTTTTTCAACAAGTCGGCCGTCTCCCACCGAGGCAGGGTGACCCAAAAAAGAAAGAAAATCCCCAAAAAGAAAATACTTTCATCATCATTCAACACTTTCACCACACTCACACATTATCACTGTTTTTGCAGAGGTGCTCAGAATACAACAGTTTAGAAGCATACACATATAAAGATACACAACATATCCCTCCAAACTGCCAATATCCCAAACCCCTCCTTTAAAGTGCAGGCATTGTACTTCCCATTTCCAGGACTCAAGTCCGACTATATGAAAATAACCAGTTTCCCTGAATTCCTTCACTAAATATTACCCTGCTCACACTCCAACAGATCGTCAGGTCCCAAGTACCATTCGTCTCCATTCACTCCTATCTAACACGCTCACGCACGCTGGAAGTCCAAGTCCCTTGCCCACAAAACCTCCTTTACCCCCTCTCTCCAACCCTTTCGAGGACGACCCCTACCCCGCCTTCCTTCCCCTATAGATTTATATGCTTTCCATGTCATTCTACTTTGATCCATTCTCTCTAAATGACCAAACCACCTCAACAACCCCTCTTCTGCCCTCTGACTAATACTTTTATTAACTCCACAGCTTTTCCTAATTTCCACACTCCGAATTTTCTGCATAATATTTACACCACACATTGCCCTTAAACAGGACATCTCCACTGCCTCCAACCGTCTCCTCGCTGCTGCATTTACCACCCAAGCTTCACACCCATATAAGAGTGTTGGTACTACTATACTTTCATACATTCCCTTCTTTGCCTCCATAGATAACGTTTTTTGACTCCACATATACCTCAACACACCACTCACCTTTTTTCCCTCATCAATTCTATGATTAACCTCATCCTTCATAAATCCATCCGCCGACACGTCAACTCCCAAGTATCTGAAAACATTCACTTCCTCCATACTTCTCCTCCCCAATTTGTGCTTCATGTGATAGAATAAATAAATGGCAAAAGTCAACCTAAAGCAAAAATCTTACATGATGTAACATATACTGTATATGATTCTTTGAATATACTAGATATGTTGGGTAAGATTTTTGTATTAAATTAACTTTTCCCATTTACTTATGCTGCTCCATCAAGGACAAGATCATGATAATCGACTTACTCTTGGTCATTTAAAACCATAACCTCTCCTTTAACTGTAGTTTGTGTGGTGAATCAAATTAGCAGATGGCTTGGTGTGGCATAATTTTTTTTTTTTTTAGCAAGTTGGCCGTCTCCCACCGAGGCAGGGTGACCCAAAAAGAAAGAAAATCCCCAAAAAGGAAATACTCTCATCATCATTCAACACTTTCACCTCACTCACACATAATCACTGTTTTTGCAGAGGCTCTCAGAATACAACAGTTTAGAAGTATATACATATAAAGATACACAACATATCCCTCCAAACTGCCAATATCCCAAACCTCTCCTTTGAAGTGCAGGCACTGTACTTCCCATTTCCAGGACTCAAGTCTGGCTATATAAAATAACCGGTTTCCCTGAATCCCTTCACTAAATATTACCCTTCTCACACTCCAACAGCTCGTCAGGTCCCAAACACCATTCGTCTCCATTCACTCCTATCTAACATGCTCACGCATGCTTGCTGGAAGTCCAAGTCCCTCACCCACAAAACCTCCTTTACCCCCTCCCTCCAACCTTTTTGAGGATGACCCCTACCCCGCCTTCCTTCCTCTACAGATTTATACGCTCTCCATGTCATTCTACTTCGATCCATTCCCTCTAAATGACCAAACCACCTCAACAACCCTTCTTCAGCCCTCTGACTAATACTTTTATTAACTCCACACCTCCTAATTTCCACACTCTGAATTTTCTGCATAAATACTTATTGAAAATTTGGCCAAATTGAGGATGTAAAAGATAAGTACATATTGAACTCATGGTGCTCCTTGGGAAGAAAAATGTAAAAGCTTTAATTATTTTATAGAGCCAAACAAAACTAAGGAGAAGAGTACAAGTGATGTTCCTGTCACCAGTGAGACAGACTCTGCAGATGAAGTGGACCAAAAAGACAGCTTGTCTGCACCTGGTAGTTCACGAGGAAGTAGCATAGAACCAGGAAATATTCCCCGTGACTCAAGTCTTAAAGGTAAGTTCATAAATGTGAATTCAATATGTTTTTGGTTTGTCATAATTTTCATTGAACAGTATTGATTTATATATTAAATTGTGTTGAACTACAAAGAATCCGTTGTTTGGAAATTAGGAGGAGGTTCAGGGTTACTAAAAGTATTATCCAGAGGGCTGAAGAGGGGTTGTTGAGGTGGTTTGGTCATTTAGAGAGACTGGAACAAAGTAGAATGAATTGGAGAGCGTATAAATCTGTAGGGCAAGGAAGGCGGGGTAGGGGTCGTGCTTGATGAATAATTTTTGGGACCTGATGAGCTGTTGAAATGTAAGCAGGGTAATATTTTGTGGAGGGATTCAGGGAAACCGATTAGCTGGACTTGAGTCCTGGAAATGGGAAGTGCAGTGCCTGCACTTTAAAGGAGGGGTTTGGGATATTGGCAGTTTGGAGGGACTTCTGAACTGTCATATGAGTGCCTCTGCAAAGACAGTGATTATGTATGAGTGAGGTGAAAATGTTGAATGATGATGAAAATATTTTTCTTTTTGGGGATTTTCTTTCTTTTTGGGTCACCCTGCCTCAGTGGGAGACGACTGATGTGTTGAAAAAAAAATGTTTTTCTGTGTTTTCTATTAATATAAAATACGTTAGAATTTTGCATCTGATTGAAGTGAATTATATGAACAATTACAGTATACAGTAAGAGGTAGATGGGAAAAGAGGAAAATGGCAACAACAAGCAAGAGGGAGGTGAAAGTGCATAAACTAAGGGAGGAGGAAGTTCGGGTGAGATATAAGCAACTATTGGGAGAAAGGTGGGCTAGTGCAAAGATGAGTAGTGGGGGGGTCGAAGAGGGTTGGAATAGTTTTAAAAATGCAGTATTAGAATGTGGGGTAGAAGTTTGTGGTTATAGGAGGGTGAGTGGAGGAGGAAAGAGGAGTGATTGGTGGAATGATGAAGTAAAGTGTGTGATAAAAGAGAAAAAGTTTGCTTATGAGAGGTTTTTATAAAGCAGAAATGTTATAAGAAGAGTAGAGTATATGGAGAGTAAAGGAAAGGTGAAGAGAGTGGTGAGAGAGTGCAAAAGGAGAGCAGATGATAGAGTGGGAGAGGCACTGTCAAGAAATTTTAATGAAAATAATAAACAATTTTGGAGTTAAAAAAGTTAAGAAAGCCTAGAGAACGAATGGATTTGGCAGTTAAAAACAGAATAGGGGAGTTAGTAGATGGGGAGATGGAGGTTTTGGGTAGATGGCAAGAATATTATACACTTTTAAATGAGGAACTTTTAAATGTCAACGAAGAAAGGGAAGCAGTAATTTCATGCACTGGCCAGGGAGGTATACCATCTTTTAGGAGTGAAGAAGAGCAGAATGTAAGTGTGGAGGAGGTACGTGAGGCATTACATAGAATGAAAGGGGGTAAAGTAGCTGGAACTGAGGGATCATGACAGAAATGTTAAAAGCAGGGGGGGATATAGTGTTGGAGTGGTTGGTACTTTTGTTTAATAAATGTATGAAAGAGGGGAAGGTACCTAGGGATTGGCAGAGAGCATGTATAGTCCCTTTATATAAAGGGAAGGGGGACAAAAGAGATTGTAAAAATTATAGAGGAATAAGTTTACTGAGTATACCAGGAAAAGTGTACAGTAGGGTTATAATTGAAAGAATTAGAGGTAAGACAGAATGTAGGATTGTGGATGAGCAGGGAGGCTTCAGAGTGGGTAGGGGATGTGTAGATCAGTGTTTACATTGAAGCATATATGTGAACAGTATTTAGATAAAGGTAGGGAAAGTTTTTAAATTGCATTTATGGATTTAGAAAAGGCATGTGATAGAGTGGATAGGGGAGCAATGTGGCAGATGTTGCAAGTACATACAATAGGTGGTAAGTTACTAAATGCTGTAAAGAGTTTTTATGAGGATAGTGAGGCTCAGGTTAGGGTGTGTAGAAGAGAGGGAGACTACTTCCCAGGAAAAGTAGGTCTTAGACAGGGATGTGTAATGTCACCATGGTTGTTTAATATATTTATAGATGGGGTTGTAAAAGAAGTAAATGCTAGGGTGTTCGGGAGAGGGGTGGGATTAAATTATGGGGAATCAAATACAAAATGGGAATTGACACAGTTACTTTTTGCTGATGATACTGTGCTTATGGGAGATTCTAAAGAAAAATTGCAAAGGTTAGTGGATGAGTTTGGGAATGTGTGTAATGGTAGAAAGTTGAAAGTGAACATAGAAAAGAGTAAGGTGATGAGGGTATCAAATGATTTAGATAAAGAAAAATTGGATATCAAATTGGGGAGGAGGAGTATGGAAGAAGTGAATGTTTTCAGATACTTGGGAGTTGATGTGTCGGCGGATGGATTTATGAAGGATGAGGTTAATCATAGAATTGATGAGGGAAAAAAGGTGAGTAGTGCATTGAGGTATATGTGGAGTCAAAAAACGTTATCTATGGAGGCAAAGAAGGGAATGTATGAAAGTATAGTAGTACCAACACACTTATATGGGTGTGAAGCTTGGGTTGTGAATGCAGCAGCGAGGAGGTGGTTGGAGGCAGTGGAGATGTCCTGTCTAAGGGCAATGTGTGGTGTAAATATTATGCAGAAAATTTGGAGTGTGGAAATTAGGAGAAGGTGTGGAGTTAATAAAAGTATTAGTCAGAGGGCTGAAGAGGGGTTGTTGAGGTGGTTTGGTCATTTAGAGAGAATGGATCAAAGTATAATGACATGGAGAGCATTTAAATCTGTAGGAGAAGGAAGGAGGGGTAGGGATCGTCCTCAAAAAGGCTGGAAGGAAGGGGTAAGGGAGGTTTTCTGGGCGAGGGGCTTGGGCTTCCAGCAGGCGTGCATGAGCATGTTCGAAAGGAGTGAATGGAGACGAATGGTATTTGGGACCTGACGATCTGTTGGAGTGTGAGCAGGGTAATATTTAGTGAAGGGATTCAGGGAAACCTGTTAGTTTTATATAGCTGGACTTGAGTCCTGAAAATGGGAAGCACAATGCTTGCACTCTAAAGGAGGGGTTTCGGGATATTAGCAGTTTGGAAGGATATGTTGTGTATCTTTATACATATATGCTTCTAAACTGTTGTGTTCTGAGCACCTCTGTAAAAACAGTGATTATGTGTGAGTGAGGTGAAAGTGTTGAATGATGATGAAAGTATTTTCTTTTTGGGGATTTTCTTTCTTTTGGGGTCACCATGCCTCGGTGGGAGACGGCTGACTTGTTGAAAAAAAAAATACATAAAAGAAAATGCCATAGAGGTGATAATCATAAAATGTAGGTATTCCTGCCTGGCGAAAGAAGTGTTGGCAAGCAGCTTAACACATGCTACTTAATTATAAGGATATCACCTTTAAAGTGGTGCCTTTGTTGGTTGTCACAGTTAACATATTCCTGGACAGTGCACAACATTACTAATAAGTTTTAAAGTTGATCAAAAACTTTTTTTTTTTAACACACTGGCCATCTCCCACCAATTTTTTAAATTTGAAAACCTTTTAAGTCTAATTTATTTTTCAGCTTCGTTGGGAAGGAATTCCCCATTAACCCCTGATGAAAAGTCTCTGAAAAAGCTGTCTATGTTGACTTCAGTCCTGTGCATCCCTCGACCCCCCAAAAAATATAGTAGAAAACCATTCAGTTTGGAAGACTGTATGAAGGCATTTGAAAAAGGTAATTGTTGTTCTATTAGTTTTAATATATAGTATGGTTGTGTATCATAAGAGGTGACTAAAATGCTGGGAGTGAGGGGGTAGTAAGCCCTTCTCCTGTACACATTACTAAATTTATATAGAGAAATTTTTGTTTTTGTTTTTGGGCCACCCTGCTTCGGTGGGATACGGCCTGTGTGTTGAAAGAAAGAAAGAAATATAGTATGGTAAATGGTGAACTCTTCAACATTCAAGAGTTCAGATTTTGAAATGGAGCAGCAGACAAGAGTCCAATCTGGATATAGCCATTATTTAATCTGGAGAATAAGTACAATCATACCCCGCCCTGCATCATTAATTGGTTCCAAGAGCAATGTTGTAACCCAGTTTTTTGTGTAAACTGGACAAAATGCCTTTAAAATAACTTAAAGTGATGACATACACCATAAAACTATCTTAAATAACTCACAAAAGAATGTAACTATTGCTAAACTGTAAAGAACACTAAAAAGACATTTTAGTCATATTATTTAAAGAATAATGAACACAGTTAAAAATATTATGACGTAGATGATGTTACTGAGTAATGTAAAGTCAGACGTAATGATGTTCACTGAACTGAAATTTGCTCTAGAAAAGTGGCGTAAAGGTGAATTTAATGTTGGCCAAAATGTCGTGAAGCTGCATATGGCTGTACTGGGATATTTGTTTTCGGGAACATTTGCTCCTATTAAATATTACATTCTGCTGTAATTCTTCTGGTGTATGTTTAAATGTACTGCATTGCCAGTCTCCAACACCATTCCCATTTTTTATTCCTCATGTATATTGCTTTATTTAGGTTATCTATATATCTTCTTTATACGTAAACGCCATATTGAGAAATAAAAGTCATGACTCACAACATTCAGTATACCTTTCACATTAACTTCCACTTAAAACTCATTCTTTTCTTGTTTATAAGGCAAGTATCATTACTGTATGCATTATATGTCAAATTGCCATGAGTAATTTTTTATGTGCTGAAATAAGTAAATTTTGTTTTAATTTTTAAGGATGGAAGCGTGAGATTGTTTATCGGGCAACTGTTGATCCACATAAGAGTGGAACTAAAGCTGATATTTATTATTATTCTCCTACCGGGAAGAAACTGCGATCAAAAGTGGAGATTGAAGATTACAGTAAGTATTTTACTTCTTCATAGAAACATAGTAGCTGGTCAATTAGTTTAGTTAAAATAAGTACATTACTGTTCATACAGTATTTTATTTACCATATTGGCCAATTCCCACCAAGGCAAGGTGATTGAAGAAAAGGAAACACATTGAGGTTCATTCATTTCTTAGCTGTCCTTTCTAAGGTGCATGAACCTCACATTCAGATCACCCACCAAACCACCACATTACAAATTCTTTCAAGAGTTTGGGGTAACAAACAGGTAGATTCAGCTGCTTGGTCAGCTATTCATGCCCTCCCAATTCTCAAAGGGGTATTCCTCTCTCAGACTATTTTTCAGTGATCTCTCGATAGCTCTGAAACCACTGGCGACAATGATGATATGTGTTAGACCTTAGTCATTTTTTTCTTTTGAAACACACTCAGGTTTCTGGCTGTCTTCTTTCCACTGATGTCTTATTTGGGAGAGACCACTTTCCCCACCTACATATCGGCCACTTGTGCCTCACTCGTAGACACCTCCTGGAAAAATGTCTGGCACTGCTCTGTGAACTATGAAGTTGCATTATCAGTTCACTGTACCTTAATTGATTATCCTGTCTATCAGCAGGCACACAGAATACACTTCCAATGTCTCCACTGGCCCAACACACACACTAGCTGATACCCTTGCTGAAACTCCCACCTTTGATGCAGACACACACAGACATTTTAACAGAAACTAACATATTGCACCAACTTTGACTATAATTTACCTCTCACTCTTCCCTACCCCTCACTAACACTTACCCTTGGATACTCCTGCCTCTCACTCTCTCCTAACCTCTGCATATTCCTTCTTTAGCATATCCCTCCTTTAGCATGTATGACCCTTTTGGGTTTAGCACTTCATTTAATTATATTAGTTTTATTTTTCTGAGAGCAGGCACTATATCTTCCATTTCCAGAACATGGTTCCCAAAAACTGACATTTAGACATCAGGGGTCCCTAATGAGTTTAGAAGTGGTGTGGAAAAGCAGGGAAAAAATTGGACACTCCTGTATGGCATTCTCAATTATATTTTAATTAAAAGGTTTTGTGTGAAAGCTTGCTTTCTTCGGTAGAGTGATCATTTAACACATCACTTTTCTTTCTCAGTGTCTCGACATGAAATTAAGGACCTCTGCTTGGAAAATTTTACCTGGATTAAAGAGCCAATAGGGGTCAAAGAAGAATATGAGCAGATTCGTCATGCATCAAAATACTTGGTAAGTTCACAGATGTTGTAGAGTTTTATTATAGTGTGAGGGAGTCTACATTGCTTGTAGGTTTTGTGGTACCAGACAAGCCCAGCCCAGAGTCTGGCTGTGGGAGTAGGAAAACTCTTGATACCCATCGAATGTATTATGAAGGATATTGTTATGGTTCTAGGTAGTAAGTTGGTAGACAGCATCCGCCCAGGGAGGTACTACCGTCCGGCCAAGTGAGTGTAAAACGGAAGCCTGTAATTGTTTTACACGATGGTAGGATTGCTGGTGTCTTTTTTTTTCTGTCTCATAGACATGCAAAATTTCAGGTACGTCTTGCTACTTCTACTTACACTTAAGTTACAACACACATACATGTACAAGCATATATATACACACCTCTCTGGGTTTTCTTCTATTTTCTTTCTAGTTCTTGTTCTTGTTTATTTCCTCTTACCTCCATGGGGAAGTGGAACAGAATTCTTCCTCCGTAAGCCATGCGTGTTGTAAGAGGCGACTAAAATGCCAGGAGCAAGGGGCTAGTAACCCCTTCTCCTGTATATATTACTAAATGTAAAAGGAGAAACTTTCGTTTTTCCTTTTGGGCCACCCCGCCTTGGTGGGATACGGCCGGTTTGTTGAAAGAAAGAAAGAAAGATATTAAGTTTGGTGTATATGGTGATAGTGACAAAATTTAATATTTAAATGCATTATACAGGTACACATTCCTTTATCCAAAACCCTTGGGGCCAGTAGTGTTAAGAATTTCAGAATTTTTTGAATTTCAGAATGAAGCTGGGGTCTAGGGCAGCACCCCATAATCAAACATTAACACTGCAGCAAAAATGTATGAATACTCACTCTAAGTGAGGTAAATGAAGACTACAAATACTACTATGGTTTATTTATAGAGTAATATATTGATAAATGAAATAATGGGATAATTATAGACCAGGAACATGATTCTCAAGTGACGAAGCAGCACTATGTCAGACGGTGTTTTTAAAGACTTAATTGATCACTCATTTTCACCATATCATCTATGGGGACTTTTTCACCTATGTTCACAATGTCATCATCATCATCACTACTATTCTCATGCTTATTTGTATTTAACACCATTTCTGTAAATCATAAACAGCGGTAGTTCTAACACCATATTCTTCAGTAAGATACCGCACTAACACACCATGCTCAAGCTTCTGCAGTAACTCTCCTTTCTGCGTTATTGATAACGTCAGATGCTACCATTTCTTTTTCTCACTGTCACCCATAGGGGTATCAGCAGTTCTTTTTGACATTTTCACAGTGAAATTAAACACAGTCACAAAATAAAGAGCAAAAACAAAATATCAGCGAACAGCAGACGCACGTGTGAACACGACAAGCGCTGAGACACAGCTGATGCCTGCCACTCTGGCCGTCAGTGACTGATGCTCTACATTGCATGAATAAACTTCGGTTTTTGGAACTTTTTGAATTTCAGAATTTCGGATAAAGGAATGTGGACCTGTATATACAGTATATGCATAACAAAAATTTCCATAGTTATACAAACTCATCACAATTTTCAGGCTTTTTCACTTGTGTTCACTATAACTCTTCTGCACCAGTACCTAGCAGTAGTCAGCTATCAAACTGATTATCAGGTTTCCCTGATATCTCTTCTCTGTGGTAGTTGGTGAAATCATTCACCACAGGGTTCCATATCACAGAAATCATATGCATTGGAGCAAAACTAAGCCCACATTTAAATTCAGCATCCAAAACTGAATTAGAAGCATGTTTTTAAATGTGAACTGAAATGTTTGTTGGTCTGTGTTATTAGTTTTAATTTTATGACTTTCCTTCATCAAGCATAATTGATATATTAAAAATTTAATTTCACCCTCCACTAACAGTAATATATTTGAACTTGTGATGCATGAAAACAAACCACTATATGGGTGGGAATTAAAATTACGGCTAGTGAGTCGTAAATTTCCAGACAGACGCGTTAGCCACTGGACCAGCTGGCTAACGCATTAGTCTGGAGTTTTATGACTTACTAGCCGTGAGTTCAGTTCCCTCCCATACCATGGTTTGTTTGCAATCATGTCATTATGATTTCGTGAGTCATGATGACAGCTTTGAGAGGATCTGAGCTACAATTCGTCATGGCCACGCTGGCAGGAGACTCATCTGTAAAAACTTTCATTTGTGGTCACATTGGTGCCTATGCTAACCTTCCTATGGTGTAAAAATATACTTAGTTGGCTTAATCTTTTTGTAGCCAGCTGGAGTTTTACAGCTCACTAACCAAGAGTTCAATTCCCGCCTGTACCATGGTTTGTTTGCAATCGTGTCATTACAGTTTTGTGAGTCTTGTGATGCATGTTACATACCTTAATCTGACTTGATTTTTATATCAGTTACCAGTGATGTCAATGATAGTTTGTTTCTTACTGATTACTAATGATAACATTAAATCTTGGTTGTGTGTTGCCTTTAGCTTTTACTGTAATTCTGATTCAGCATTGTACGTTATGCTAATAATGGAAAACCTATGATACACATTATCTTCCAGTGATAGAAGTTAAGCTCAGATAACCTAAATTTGCTCATATTCATTTAGTCATTATAGTAATTGTCCTACATGAAAATCCAGTAATTGAAGAGTAGAAAAGATTTTTTTTTTTCAACAAACTGGCCATATTCCACCAAGGCAAGATGGCCCAAAAGAAAAATGAAAGTTTCTCTTTTTAAATTTAGTAATTTATACAGGAGAAGGGGTTACTAACCCCTTGCTCCTGGCATTTTAGTCACCTCTTACAACATGCATGGCTTATGGAGGAAGAATTCTGTTCCACTTCCTCATGGAGATAGGAAATAAACAAGAACAAGAACTAGAAAGAAAATAGAAGAAAACCCAGAGGGGTGTGTATATATATGCTTGTACATGTATGTGTAGTGTGACCTAAGTGTAAGTAGAAGTAGCAAGACGTACCTGAAATCTTGCATGTTTATGAGACAGACAAAAGACACCAGCAATCCTACCATCATGTAAAACAATTACAGGCTTTTGTTTTACACTCATTTGGCAGGACGGTAGTACCTCCCTGGGCAGTTGCTATTTACCAGCCTACTACCTAGAGATGGGGTCCAGTCCCTGGACCCATTATGTTCCTTTGTAATCTTGTGACTACTGCCCACAGGATGGGTATGGGGTGCATAATAAGGATATTAAACTAACTAACTACCTAGAGAAAAGATATATAGTATATAATTTTCTTAGGGAAAACAAATTGAGACATTGAGCAAACCCTCATTTTAATAGCTTAATAGGGAAAGGCAGGTAGCCGGTAATAGTGATTGTAGTGGATATAGATGAGATTATTTTTTCTGTGACTGTAACAATTGTGTTAAGTTGGCTATCACATTTTGTCCTGAATTTCCAGTCTGTTAAATTGAGGTCCATTAATTGAGGGTTCACTTACTGTATAATATTTAATTATTACAGCAGTACAATATATCATATTTGGACAATACTATTTGATAAAACTTATTAATTTCTTTAGTGGTAATTATCAGGGCCAGTTTAAGGTTTTGAGAAGCCTAAGGCTGATAAAAATGAAGTTCCAAAAGTATTATATAAAACAGGCTATCTTTTTTTTATTTGGTATCGGCTTGACAAAGCTCCTGGAGAGCGAAACATTGCCACAATAAAAAATCACATTAGTTGCACTTGTGTCCTTTTACTGTAAAGGACCTGCCTAGTATGGGCCAACAGGCCTGCTGCAGTGTTCCTCCTTTCTTGTGTTCTTATGTTCTTATATAGTTGAACTTGCTATTTAGAACTTGCAAATAGAGGTTCTACAAATAAATATAAATATAAATATTGTTTCAAATTTTAGGTCATTTTGTGTTTCAGAGACCATATCTCTTGAAATATTTTCTTTAATTAGGTTAATATTGACATTCATAAGAAAAAAAATGTTTTGGGTTTGGAGAAACTATTGATTGGCTCAAATCCCATCAGTTTGTACATTGCAATTACTAAAGATAATCAGGCAAAAATTTGCCATGGCTTCAGGTTCACTTTATTACTTTTCAATAAATTAGCATTGAAAAACATGACAGGCCTAAAGCTGTAGCATTTTTTTCAGCCTTCAGGTAGAGTTAGCCCTGGTAATTATAAGTCGCAATTATTATCTGTACCTCTATCCTGTACCTCCTTTCCCATAGAAATGGTGTGCTGCAAACTCAGAGCAGCCCCACAGCTCACTCACGTGTATCCTCAACATACATACAGTGAGTTAAGTGAGCAGCTTCTTGCATACTGCTAGAACATATCATCATTATTCACTGTATTAAGTTGATTCTCCAACTGTGCTTTCCTCTTCATTTACTCTTTCATCCATCCTCTCTCTCAAAACACTTCTACTGCTCAAAATTCATGTTAATTTTTCTGGTAATATTATTTATAAAACTCTGTTTAGTAGCAACTCATTCACACATCTACCCATTGTTTGTTGTCTGTCCCCATTCTAGTGGGTATGGGAGGGAAGGGCCATTGATGCCAGTGAAGGCCTCTTGATTCAAGGAATTAGAGATGCACTCCTCTTCCATGAGTCAAACCTGTTTACCTCCTTTTCCCAGTCTCTTGAGACTCGTAATATTAATTGATGTCTGTCTCTAGTACTCTTACCCCATTTAATGCTCATGCATCTCTATCATTCTGTTGTCTAACATTTGTTCCTTCCAACTGTACTACCTCAGTAGACTTTTGAACTTCGGCATGTCTTCTTGACAAATATTAAATGTTTTAAAATATGAAAAACTATTTTTTTTTTATAAATAACATTATACAGTGTCCACAAAAACAATCCAAACCTTTCCTTTATTATTATGAAAACCATTAAGAAGCAACAATATAAACATTATAGAAGAAAAACTGTAATACTTGTTACAGTGTACTTACAATATATTTTGAGTGTGGGGGAAGTACAGGAGGCAGTGGATAGAACGAAAGGGGGACACAGCAAGCCTTCAAGGTTATGTATTACAAATGTCTCACTGTGCTATGAATTAGAGTGTCTTCAACAAATGAAAATTTTTAACACCTTTATTATGGATAAAATAAGAAAGCAAAACCAAAACAGTGCAAAATCACCATAATAATAATAATAATCCCCCTTTGGGTATGCTTTCACTCAGATTCCAGAAGTAATCAGTGGCTAACTTGTTGATCCGAATGTCCTTGAACTCCTGCTGTAGGCACAACATGGATGAAATGTGGCAGGATTCTGTCTTTTTCATGATATTCCAGGCATTCTCAATAGGATTGAGGTCTGGACTGTTCCCTGGCCACTGTAAAACTTCAACATTTTTCTCGGCAAGCCACTTGGTTACTTTTTTGGCCTTGTGACAGAGGCGCTATTATGTATAAAGGGGGTGCAGCTGTGAATGGCAATGTATCAGTTGGCATTCAATGTAATGCTTTGGGGAAGGAAACAAACTACAAAACCCCCCCCGTTGACCAAGTAAACCCCAAACCATGACAGATTATGGGTGCTTTACAGTGTTCACTGTGTATTCAGGGTCATACCTGCTTATGGAGGAGGGGTGCCTCAACCTCCTTTGATAACCTTGAATGTTCTGAAATGTGGATTCATCTGGCTACATGACTTTCCATTCATCAACATTCCATTGTGCATTTTCCTGGAAAAATGCGGGTGTTACTTCTTCATATAGGGTGTGAGTAGTGATTTCCTTGCAGAATTATGACTTGGCAGGCAGAGGTCTTTTTGCAGACAGAAATGGATGCACTGAATTGAGAGGTCACCAGTTCAGGATGCATTGCTTTGAGCTGTGATGCAGTTAAATACAAATTTAATGTAGTTCTCTGCATAGAATGGTATTTGTGTGTTTAGATGTTCTCCTTGGCTGTCTGGTATGAGGTTTTGTAGTTGGAATGATGTCAGGTGGGAGGCCATGGGTGGCGGTAAGTAACACCATTATACTGGACTTACCTTGCTCAACCAGTAAGGTGACAAACTTCCTTTATGGTGATTTTTTCTTGTCGCCAAGCCACGTAATATAGGGCTCTTTCCTCACTATTTATCTTTGAGTGACCCATATTTATCTACTTGGCACTACACAGCACTAAATATTTTGGGCATTTGGGGGTAGAGCAATGTAACAACACTTTATCTCACTACCATATGCAGTTGCACTGAGAGGTGATACTTTCTTGCTGTAGATTTACCAGTATAATCGCCTGGCCTAAGCTTTTTCCAAGAGGTGGCCCGGCCTTGGTTCCCTGTTGTGGGAGTGTCTCAGACCAATGTCTGCCATGGGAAGAGGTATAAGTACCTCCTCATTGTCTGGGACCAGCTGTCTCCAGGCCTAGCCCCATTCCCTGCACCTACGGGGCTCGGAGGGAGAAGCTAGGCACCTTGGGTTGCCACAAACCCCACCTACACTGGGCTCGAAGGGTGTGGCAGCTACATAGCAGCAGACGATGTCAGGAGGTGCAAAGGCAGCAAGCACTGCAGGGTCTTTTTGGAACCACACCCCAGCTTTGGGCTGAAACCTGAGCACTGGGGAAGCTCAAAAATGCCTCTTGCTGTGTGTTGCTGCTGCTACTACTACACTTGTCCATTGCACTCCATCAAGAGGTGACACATACTGCAGTTTCTTATATTAACTCCCAGTTGACAGATACCTCCAGAAAATATTCAAATGAAGTAAAGCATCAAATACACAATATGAATCTGTACCGCTTTATACTTTTTATAATGGAGGCAGGTCAGGATTATTATTGTGGATAGTGTGTACATAATGTTGATCACAGGAAGCCTGCATATGCCAGTACTTATGTGAACCTTGCCCAAGTTACTGTACACCAGCATTGATAATTTTAAGCCAGTCAGTGAGACATTTTTGAGGTATAAATGAAACTCTCTAGGTAGTAGGTTGGTAGACAGCAACCGCCCAGGGAGGTACTACCGTCCTGCCAAGTGAGTGTAAAACGAAAGCCTGTAATTGTTGTACATGATGGTAGGATTGCTGGTGTCCCTTTTTCTGTCTCATAAACATGCAAGATTTCAGGTACATCTTGCTACTTCTACTTACACTTAGGTCACACTACACATACATGTACAAGCATATATATACATACCCCTCTGGGTTTTCTTCTATTTTCTTTATAGTTCTTGTTCTTGTTTATTTCCTCTTATCTCCATGGGAAGTGGAACAGAATTCTTCCTCCTTAAGCCATGCGTGTCGTAAGAGGTGATTAAAATGCCGAGTTATTAAGGCATTTAAGTACCATTACACATGCATGGTAATAGGAAATTTTTGAGCAGCAGTGGATGACAGCTTTGAGACTGGCATAAATTTAATATCGCAGAATACATTTATGCATGTAAAGGTGTCATGTGATGAAGTGTCCCCCAATCGACTGTAAATGCAGGCTGAGGTCAGAGAAACTATTCATCACCTTCTGTGATGAATAGTTTCTCTGTTTTTTTTTCCTCAGTAAGGAATCACTGTTCTTCCTACACATACCTACCCATACCTGTCCCATACCTCTGTGATTTCCTTTCATTACCTGTATTCTTTCTAGCCCACCTTTCTCTAAATAATCACTTACATCTTACCCTAACCATCTCCTCCTTTAATTTATTAACTTCCATGTTGCTCTCATCCATTGATGACATTCTCCTTGTAGCCCATGTACCTCTTACTCTCACTGTAAATACTACTACTACTGCTTCTTTCAACATACCAGCCGTATCCCACCAAGGCGGGGTGGCCCAAAAAGAAAAACGAAAGTTTCTCCTTTTAAATTTAGTAATATATACAGGAGAAGGGGTTACTAGCCCCCTTGCTCTCACTGTAACTATTAATAAATAATGATGTGATATCTTTCACCCCCCTCTAAAAACATGCTCATCCAGAAGTCTACTAACCTGACAAACTACTGTATGCCCTATATCATATCTCATGTACTTTGCTTCTTTTTCTAAAAATACATATGACCTATGTTCCTATATGTTTCTTTTGTTCCTTACTTTTTATAATATTATTTTTCATAAGGGGCTGATTTTCAGGAATGTAACCTATTCATTATGAGAGGGTTCACTGTACTTGATCATTTTTTATTAAGAATCATTTATTGTTAACATTGCATTGCTGCACATCTTTTTAAATGTTTTGTAATGATTCAGATTTAAGGAACTTTAGAAATTCTGGCCAAACAAAAATATATTACATTCCTTAATAAGTATTCTCACACCAGGGTGCTGGTGGCAGTCGTGGAAAGTCCAGCACACCAAGTGTTTGTGCAACACCTCCCCAAGTGACAAAGTGTGAACCAGTTATGCCTTCTGTTACACCTGTGTCAACAAAACGTAAAAGAGGTAGACCACCAAAAACACCTAGTGAAAAGCCTGCAAAGCGTGCTCGTATGAAGATCACTCCTATTGTAAGTTATTTTAAAAGCTTCTTATGTATAGTACATGCAAAAAGAAGAATGTAACATAGTATAGTGGTATGACAATGCTTTTGTATGGGTGTAATGTATGATATTTTAATGTTTAAGTATGGGGGCTACATGAGGTAGAGGTGTCATGTTTGAGCTCAGTGTGTGATGTAAATATGATACAAAGAGTAAGGACTATATAAATTAAGTCAGTATAAGTGTTATGAAGGGGGTAAATTAGAGAGGGGAAAGAAAGAAAGGTAGAAAAATAATGAGATAAGTCAAAGGAAAAGACGTAAAAGGGGATTTTAGTAGTAGGCTTGAGTATTCAGAGAGTGTGTGTGTGTTGTTGTATGTTAGAGTATATAATGAGTAAAAACAATTAATTTGTTAGTTGTGAAGTGCTGTATGAACAAGGTAACATTTGTGATGATAATCAGGGAAACCAATTAGACTTGAGTACTGGAGATGGGAAGTATACTGTCTGCATTCTGAAAGATGAGTGGGAATGTTGTAGTTATGATATTCCTTCACTTCTGGCTAGACAGCTTTTAATTAAGTGATGAAAAATGTGTTTAATTTTTTTGTGGGAAATGGCTTGTGCAGCTATTTTGACAGTCCAGTGACTTCTTAAGATCTAATTAGGTTTCAAGTGCGCCGCATGCTGTGATATATTCAAAACTTGCTTTATTTATTTAATCTGTTGTAAATGCAGTTGACTATGTTTTAACAGTTTATTTTATTCTATTATGCTCATTGTTTATCTGTAATCTAGGATGCTTGAGTTCAGTATATTTTATAAAATTTTTTGCTCATTACTAAATAGGAAAACACATGCTCCCTTTTCTTTTATTTGGCAGTGCACTTGCTGATGTATTATCAGTGTTTTTAGTCTGAACAGTGATGGGGTTTATGTTACTTTTGTGGATATAATTCATTAGGATGGAAAATTCAGCAGTCAAAAGAAATGTGAACTGAGATACAGTTGCAGACTTGCCTGTGTACTTCTGAGGTTGCTTACAGGGTTTTTAACTGACTTGTACTGCAGGTATGTAATTGGAAAGTTAGTTACCAGAACCTTAATGTATATATATTTTATTGTAGTGTACCTGCACCACATTTTTTATTCTGATGTGCTGTTCTTTTCTGTATAATTCAGGTTCCATTGAGTTTAAAGCGAGAGGTGGAGCCTAGCCCAAGTGTTAAAAAAACTTATCCTCAGACTCCAGTGACAGTGAAGTCATCAAGTGCTGTGAACACCCAGGCAACTAGTAGTTCCCCTGTCACATTGCCAGCTCCTATACAACCTTCAGTCAACAAAAGCTGGAATCCTGGTAAAAGTTTGCCTTTAATTTGTAGAAAACTTAAGCTCTGATGTACAGTGTACAGAAATGTATTATTTTTTGTATTAGTTTTCCCTATACCCCAGAGCATCAGACTTGGTGCTTCAAGGTATGGGGAAATATGCTTATTGGAGTCTGGCTGTGTGGTGAAAGTACTGTGCTTAGGTTCAAATCGTATTCTGGACTTAGAGATAATGTTTGCTCGTTTGCAAATTGTTATGTATGTACACACATGCATTCACACATGTGCACAAGCATGCACACACATACAGGTAAAGCCCAGACTGTTTTATGGGATTTTAGTAGGTCTGATTCAATTATATTGGGACACTGTAAGCCATGACCAATTATTCCTGGTTATATTTTGTTATCCGAGAAATAGGAGAAATCTTGGATTATTTGTGTAATTAATCCAAGGGGATTCAGGGAAACCGGCAGGCCGGACTTGAGTTCTGGAGATGGGAAGTACAGTGCCTGCACTCTGAAGGAGGGGTGTTAATGTTGCAGTTTAAAAAATGTAGTGTAAAGCACTCTTCTGGCAAGACAGTGATGGAGTGAATGATGGTGAAAGTTTTTCTTTTTTGGGCCACCCTGCCTTGGTGGGAATCGGCCAGTGTGTTAATAATAATAAAACAAAAATGAATTCAAAATGGAAGGCACATGTAATATAGGAGAGACCTGGAAATATGATAAATGAACAGGAAATGTTGTTTTAATACTAGGAATGTCTATATTGTTTATTTTGGACCATTTTTAGATTGGATTTTTTAATTTAATGTAAAATTGGCCAAATTACTGACTTCTTTGCACTTTATTGAATAGTTCTAATAGGTGAATGGGTGGTTTTTTTGTGCTTAATTGATAGAACAGAGGACATATAATTACTGATTCATAAATTTGCACCTAGACTGCTAACTTTGCACCTGCATAATTACGCAAGTTTTTCATCAAATTTTGTACTTTTGGTGTCATTACCTTCAGAAGATTCTCTACCATTTTGGATTTTTTTTTTTTAAATGTGGACACTGACATCAGTATTAATTTTGGGGGTCTGGACAGTGAAAGGGTTAATAATGGCCCAAGAATGGGCTAGAATTACATGTATTATCATAAGAAAAGATCTTTGAACAAACCAGCCATATCCCACTGAGGCAGGGTGTCCTAAAAAGAAAAATGAAAGTTTATCTTTTTAAATTTAAAAGAGGTTACTAGCTCCTTGCTCCCATCATTTTAGTTGCCTCTTATGACATGCATAGCGTATGGAGGAAGAATTCTGTTCCACTTCCCCATGGAGATAAGAAAAGATTTTAGCATTAATTTATTTGAGAATTGAGATATATGTTGAAATTGACAGAACTATGACTAGTCTGAATATTTATGAGGATGCCTGTGTGTCTGAAATTTTGTGAAACCCGATTCTGTATATTATTATACTGATCATACTTTGTAATCCCTTTTCCACAGTGATAACCTTAGCAAGCACACCAAATCTGAGTAGTAGTACCAGTCAACGACCAATTCTACCTGCTCCTCCCAAGGCTGATCTCAAGCAGCTCAAAAGCAATATTGTATACTCTACAAAGATATGCAATGAACCTATAGTCCCCTCCAAAATATTGACACCAATGTAAGTTTTTTATTTATTTTTTTTAACATTCTAGTGCTCTCTCACCAAGGCATGGTCACCCAAAAAAAGAAATGTTTTTATCATCATTCACACAATCACTGTCTTGCCAGAGGCATGCAGATACAACAGTTTAAATGTAAGTTTATAGGGTTAATATGGCATCTGTTTGAGTTGTGTTTTAGATGAAGGTATAGATTTGGTAGCTATTTGTAGCATGCATGCTTTTTTTTTTTATTTCCTCATTTTTTTTTTTTTTTTTTTCAACAAGTTGGCCGTCTCCCACCGAGGCAGGGTGACCCAAAAAAGAAAGAAAATCCCCAAAAAGAAAATACTTTCATCATCATTCAACACTTTCACCACACTCGCACATTATCACTGTTTTTGCAGAGGTGCTCAGAATACAACAGTCTAGAAGCATACACATATAAAGATACACAACATATTCCTCCAAACTGCCAATATCCCAAACCCCTCCTTTAAAGTGCAGGCATTGTACTTCCCATTTCCAGGACTCAAGTCCGACTATATGAAAATAACCGGTTTCCCTGAATCCCTTCACTAAATATTACCCTGCTCACACTCCAACAGATCGTCAGGTCCCAAGTACCATTCGTCTCCATTCACTCCTATCTAACACGCTCACGCACGCTTGCTGGAAGTCCAAGCCCCTTACCCACAAAACCTCCTTTACCCCTCTCTCCAACCCTTTCGAGGACGACCCCTACCCCTCCTTCCTTCCCCTATAGATTTATATGCTTTCCATGTCATTCTACTTTGATCCATTCTCTCTAAATGACCAAACCACCTCAACAACCCCTCTTCTGCCCTCTGACTAATACTTTTATTAACTCCACACCTTCTCCTAATTTCCACACTCCGAATTTTCTGCATAATATTTACACCACACATTGCCCTTAAACAGGACATCTCCACTGCCTCCAACCGTCTCCTCGCTGCTGCATTTACCACCCAAGCTTCACACCCATATAAGAGTGTTGGTACTACTATACTTTCATACATTCCCTTCTTTGCCTCCATAGATAACGTTTTTTGACTCCACATATACCTCAACGCACCACTCACCTTTTTTCCCTCATCAATTCTATGATTAACCTCATCCTTCATAAATCCATCCGCCGACACGTCAACTCCCAAGTATCTGAAAACATTCACTTCTTCCATACTCCTCCTCCCCAATTTGATATCCAATTTTTCTTTATCTAAATCATTTGACACCCTCATCACCTTACTCTTTTCTATGTTCACTTTCAACTTTCTACCTTTACACACATTCCCAAACTCATCCACTAACCTTTGCAATTTTTCTTTAGAATCTCCCATAAGCACAGTATCATCAGCAAAAAGTAACTGTGTCAATTCCCATTTTGAATTTGATTCCCCATAATTTAATCCCACCCCTCTCCCAAACACCCTAGCATTTACTTCCTTAACAACCCCATCTATAAATATATTAAACAACCATGGTGACATTACACATCCCTGTCTAAGACCTACTTTTACCGGGAAGTAGTCTCCCTCTCTTCTACACACCCTAACCTGAGCCTCACTATCCTCATAAAAACTCTTTACAGCATTTAATAACTTACCACCTATTCCATATACTTGCAACATCTGCCACATTCCTCATGTATGTATTTAATTATTTTGTACATAACCCTTTCAGTGGCTGTCACCTTGTGTAGTTCTTTGTCATTATGGCCAGGGTCCCTTGTGTAGTTCTTTGTCATTATGGCCAGGGTCCCTTGTGTAGTTCTTTGTCATTATGGCCAGGGTCCCTTGTGTAGTTCTTTGTCATTAAGTCCAGGGTCCCTTGTGTAGTTCTTTGTCATTATGGCCAGGGTCCCTTGTGTAGTTCTTTGTCATTATGGCCAGGGTCCCTTGTGTAGTTCTTTGTCATTAAGACCAGGGTCCCTTGTGTAGTTCTTCATTAAGACCAGGGTCCCTTGTGTAGTTTTTTGTCATTAATACCAGGGTCCCTTGTGTAGTTCTTTGTCATTAAGACCAGGGTCCCTTGTGTAGTTCTTTGTCATTAAGACCAGGGTCCCTTGTGTAGTTCTTTGTCATTAAGACCAGGGTCCCTTGTGTAGTTCTTTGTCATTAAGACCAGGGTCCCTTGTGTAGTTCTTTGTCATTAAGACCAGGGTCCCTTGTGTAGTTCTTTGTCATTAAGACCAGGGTCCCTTGTGTAGTTCTTTGTCATTAAGACCAGGGTCCCTTGTGTAGTTCTTCATCATTAAGACCAGGGTCCCTTGTGTAGTTCTTTGTCATTAAGGCCAGGGTCCCTTGTGTAGTTCTTTGTCATTAAGACCAGGGTCCCTTGTGTAGTTCTTTGTCATTAAGACCAGGGTCCCTTGTGTAGTTCTTTATCATTAAGGCCAGGGTCCCTTGTGTAGTTCTGTCATTAAGGCCAGGGTCCCTTGTGTAGTTCTTCATCATTAAGTCCAGGGTCCCCTGTGTAGTTCTTTGTCATTAAGACCAGGGTCCCTTGTGTAGTTCTTTGTCATTAAGACCAGGGTCCCTTGTGTAGTTCTTCATCATTAAGTCCAGGGTCCCTTGTGTAGTTCTTCGTCACTAAGGCCAGGGTCCCTTGTGTAGTTCTTCGTCACTAAGACCAGGGTCCCTTGTGTAGTTCTTTATCATTAAGGCCAGGGTCCCTTGTGTAGTTCTGTCATTAAGGCCAGGGTCCCTTGTGTAGTTCTTCATCATTAAGTCCAGGGTCCCTTGTGTAGTTCTTTGTCATTAAGACCAGGGTCCCTTGTGTAGTTCTTTGTCATTAAGACCAGGGTCCCTTGTGTAGTTCTTCATCATTAAGTCCAGGGTCCCTTGTGTAGTTCTTCGTCACTAAGGCCAGGGTCCCTTGTGTAGTTCCATGTCATGAGCAGAGCTCACTCAAATAACTTGTGAGCACTAAATTTTGGCCTAGATATGAGAGAATGGGTCTGTGTGGTGAGTACACAGAAAAAAAAAATCCTGCCCCATGCAGTGTATGATGAGAAGAGCAAAACTTTGACCATGTGTTTGGTTTAAAATAGTGATTGAGGTGTTTTCTAGGATTTTTTTGCTTGTATTGGCAGTTTTTTTGGTATAATTTTGTAGATTAAAGCTGTTTTTGTGTGATGAATTCAAAATGTAAGGCAGGTGTAATATAGTAGAGGCCAAATTACTGACTTCTTTTCACTTTGTGAGGTAGTTGTAGTAGCTGAATGCATGGTTTCTTGTGCTCAGTTATTAGAACAGAAGGCATATTAGTGAAGGAACTCAAACGTGATTGAATGGAACCATGGACTTGGTTGAAAATAGGACTCAAAGTGCGTGAAATTGCTGATGCTTTAATTGCGCTCAGACTGCTAACTTTGTGCCCGAGTAATTCCGTAAGTTTTCCGTCAGATTTCATGCATTTGGTGTCATTACCTTAACGAGAAGATTCTCTACAATTTCAGAAGAAATTTTTTTTTTTTTTTTAAACGTGGACACTGAGAGCAATATTAATTTCAGGAGTCTGGTCAATGAAAGGGTTAAGTCTTAAACTTTGCACAGACTGGAGCCGTGACAGTCTTGCTGTGGGCAGAAAGACTGTCAAGAAAGAATATTAAAGAAAGAATATTAAAATGAAAACTCACCATTTTTTTGGCATGCTGAGGTTTTACAAGTAGAGCGTAACTGCTTTTTAAATCTTTTTGACCGATTCTGCTAATTTCTAGATCCCCAGGGCCTGATCATTCTACTGTGAAACTTTGTACAGTGTATTTTTTTCTTCCATCTTTTCTTCTAATGTATTCCATGTATCATTCCAAGAATAAAAGAATACCTCTTAACATCCCTGTTGCTCATCCGCATCTTTAGCTGCATTTTTTTTGTCCCCTGGCTCCCTGTCCTGGCTCTCAAATTCCCATTGTTTGAGCTGAGGGAGGAGGTAGGTGGTAGTGCTTCCTGTTTGAACATTAGTCTGTTTCTCAGGTTCACATCATTCTTGTTGCCACTAAGGCTCTGAGTTGCTCTTTCTTTTCATCTCATGATAAAATGATAGAGGACCTTATTGTAAGTAAATGCCAATGACAAATTTTGGCATTCTTGAACTATTGGCTAAAAATTCAGTGAAATACACCGTTGTTGAATGCTTGAAGCTGATCAAAAGAGGTTTTTTTCAAGATGTAGTGAAATCATTTACCAATTTTACCAATACATATTAGGGTGTTGTGTTATATTGATAAGGTACAGGTATCCAGAGAAAAGAGTATTAGTATGTTACAGTATTAAAAAACAAGCAAACATATTATTAATCATCCTTTTCAGGCTGTCCAGTGAGATGCGTCAACGAACCTTCCACTGCACCGGACACTGTCTCCTAGGTGGTGGGATGGTACCATGCCTGCAGTGTGTAAAATGTCTTTGCCTCTTTCATCCAGAATGTACCTATATGCCACCTCCCACTGTTAATATTATCCAGTCTGGAGCTGCAAAGTTCCTATGTCCTGTAAGTATTGTGTTGGTAATAAATTTATCGCATTAAGAGTTGGGCAGAATATAAATATGGAAAATTATTTACTTATTCTTTATTAAGGTTTTAACAGCCAGCTACTTAAAAGTAAAGCACACACTTGGATAACTTGTATTGAGACAAAACAAAATACTGTGTAATAAGATTAATGTTCTGATACATAGCTGAATTTTCTATAGTAAATACATTCTTGTCACAACACTTGAACCCTGGGTAAATATGCATATATGGTATAGTGTACGAATTTATTACTATTGCATTTAGAGTCTTTTTTAACGGATTTAGAGTTTGAACTGTGATAAGAGAAAACATTAGATGGGTGGATTATACTTGTTTGTGCACTTAGCAGTGCACATGATGTACCTCAACCTTGATGTAACAACTGTAACACTGAGCAGTGCACATGTGCATCAATCCTGATGCAACAGCTGCAACACTGAGCAGTGCACATGATGTACCTCAACCTTGATGTAACAACTGCAACACTGAGCAGTGCACATGATGTACCTCAACCTTGATGCAGCAGATGCAACACAAAACCACCACCTTCAGTAGGTTGGCATTTCTATTCTTTTCACTATATTTTAGGGCTTCTCACACACATATTAAATGTTAAGTTAATGCTTTATAAGAGAAAATGTTGCACAAATAACCTACACATAGGAGAAAGAAACTATGATGACATTTCAGTTCGATTTGGACCATCAGTCAGTCATGTTTTGGCCCAGATCAGACCAAAACATCATCATAAAGTTTCTTTCTCCTCTGTGCAGGTTGTTTGTGTATTGTTCCAGTCATGATATTGTGCCTCTGTGTTCTTTAAGAGAAAACATTAGATAGTGAGTTTTATTTGGGGAAGTAGATCATTTTGCATAACAGCTGTTGAATGAATGATGGTGAATGTTGGGTGCACCTACAAGGATTACATATTACAGTATATTTTACTATGCATTCTTAGCAACTAGGCATCCTGATACTTGCATTTTTTCTAGAATTGTTACAGAGAGATCAAAGAAAATGTTGGCATAAATAAATGGGTCCCTCCCAGGTCATATGAGCCATTGTCTTATGACCCTCCATCTGAAGACTCGGAAAATGAAGGTGAAAGAATAGATCGAGTTATATCTTATGAAAACTACGCACGGGTTAGTCTTCGACCTGACATACCTCTCACACCCCCTAGCTCACCACCTCCACCAGGTTGTAAAGTGTGAGTCTTTTTAATTTGTTAAATTTTAGCAATCCTTAGTGCTGTATAACTCATTTGGGTTTAATGCTTGTTTTTAGCATAATAATAAAAGTAACAACAATAATAATAAAAAATAATAATAATAATTATAAAAGTAATAATAATAATGAAAAGTCCTTAAATTATTTTATCTCAAATTGTATGCTGTATCGTTTATAAGAGTTATCATGTTTGTACAGTGTATAATTTATAAGGTAGTAGGTTGGTAGACAGCAACCACCCAGGGAAGTACTACCGTCCTGCCAGATGACTGTGAAACAAAAACCTGTAATTGTTTTGCATGATGGTAGGATTGCTGGTTTCTTTTTCTGTCTCATAAACACGCTAAGATAACAGGGATATCTTGCTACTCCTACTAACACTTTGGTCACACTTCACAGACACGCACATGCATATATATATATACATACATCTAGGTTTTTCTCCTTTTTCTAAATAGCTCTTGTTCTTTTTTATTTCTTCTATTGTCCATGGGGAAGTGGAAAAGAATCTTTCCTCCGTAAGCCATGCGTGTCGTATGAGGCGACTAAAATGCCGGGAGCAATGGGCTAGTAACCCCTTCTCCTGTATACAATTACTAAAAAAAGAGAAGAAGAAAAACTTTATAAAACTGGGTTGCTTAAATGTGCGTGGATGTAGTGCGGATGACAAGAAACAGATGATTGCTGATGTTATGAATGAAAAGAAGTTGGATGTCCTGGCCCTAAGCGAAACAAAGCTGAAGGGGGTAGGAGAGTTTCAGTGGGGGGAAATAAATGGGATTAAATCTGGAGTATCTGAGAGAGTTAGAGCAAAGGAAGGGGTAGCAGTAATGTTAAATGATCAGTTATGGAAGGAGAAAAGAGAATATGAATGTGTAAATTCAAGAATTATGTGGATTAAAGTAAAGGTTGGATGCGAGAAGTGGGTCATAATAAGCGTGTATGCACCTGGAGAAGAGAGGAATGCAGAGGAGAGAGAGAGATTTTGGGAGATGTTAAGTGAATGTATAGGAGCCTTTGAACCAAGTGAGAGAGTAATTGTGGTAGGGGACTTGAATGCTAAAGTAGGAGAAACTTTTAGAGAGGGTGTGGTAGGTAAGTTTGGGGTGCCAGGTGTAAATGATAATGGGAGCCCTTTGATTGAACTTTGTATAGAAAGGGGTTTAGTTATAGGTAATACATATTTTAAGAAAAAGAGGATAAATAAGTATACACGATATGATGTAGGGCGAAATGACAGTAGTTTGTTGGATTATGTATTGGTAGATAAAAGACTGTTGAGTAGACTTCAGGATGTACATGTTTATAGAGGGGCCACAGATATATCAGATCACTTTCTAGTTGTAGCTACACTGAGAGTAAAAGGTAGATGGGATACAAGGAGAATAGAAGCATCAGGGAAGAGAGAGGTGAAGGTTTATAAACTAAAAGAGGAGGCAGTTAGGGTAAGATATAAACAGCTATTGGAGGATAGATGGGCTAATGAGAGCATAGGCAATGGGGTCGAAGAGGTATGGGGTAGGTTTAAAAATGTAGTGTTAGAGTGTTCAGCAGAAGTTTGTGGTTACAGGAAAGTGGGTGCAGGAGAGAAGAGGAGCGATTGGTGGAATGATGATGTAAAGAGAGTAGTAAGGGAGAAAAAGTTAGCATATGAGAAGTTTTTACAAAGTAGAAGTGATGCAAGGAGGGAAGAGTATATGGAGAAAAAGAGAGAGGTTAAGAGAGTGGTGAAGCAATGTAAAAAGAGAGCAAATGAGAGAGTGGGTGAGATGTTATCAACAAATTTTGTTGAAAATAAGAAAAAGTTTTGGAGTGAGATTAACAAGTTAAGAAAGCCTAGAGAACAAATGGATTTGTCAGTTAAAAATAGGAGAGGAGAGTTATTAAATGGAGAGTTAGAGGTATTGGGAAGATGGAAGGAATATTTTGAGGAATTGTTAAATGTTGATGAAGATAGGGAAGCTGTGATTTCGTGTATAGGGCAAGGAGGAATAACATCTTGTAGGAGTGAGGAAGAGCCAGTTGTGAGTGTGGGGGAAGTTCGTGAGGCAGTAGGTAAAATGAAAGGGGGTAAGGCAGCCGGGATTGATGGGATAAAGATAGAAATGTTAAAAGCAGGTGGGGATATAGTTTTGGAGTGGTTGGTGCAATTGTTTAATAAATGTATGGAAGAGGGTAAGGTACCTAGGGATTGGCAGAGAGCATGCATAGTTCCTTTGTATAAAGGCAAAGGGGATAAAAGAGAGTGCAAAAATTATAGGGGGATAAGTCTGTTGAGTGTACCTGGTAAAGTGTATGGTAGAGTTATAATTGAAAGAATTAAGAGTAAGACGGAGAATAGGATAGCAGATGAACAAGGAGGCTTTAGGAAAGGTAGGGGGTGTGTGGACCAGGTGTTTACAGTGAAACATATAAGTGAACAGTATTTAGATAAGGCTAAAGAGGTCTTTGTGGCATTTATGGATTTGGAAAAGGCGTATGACAGGGTGGATAGGGGGGCAATGTGGCAGATGTTGCAAGTGTATGGTGTAGGAGGTAGGTTACTGAAAGCAGTGAAGAGTTTTTACGAGGATAGTGAGGCTCAAGTTAGAGTATGTAGGAAAGAGGGAAATTTTTTCCCAGTAAAAGTAGGACTTAGACAAGGATGTGTGATGTCACCGTGGTTGTTTAATATATTTATAGATGGGGTTGTAAGAGAAGTAAATGCGAGGGTCTTGGCAAGAGGCGTGGAGTTAAAAGATAAAGAATCACACACAAAGTGGGAGTTGTCACAGCTGCTCTTTGCTGATGACACTGTGCTCTTGGGAGATTCTGAAGAGAAGTTGCAGAGATTGGTGGATGAATTTGGTAGGGTGTGCAAAGAAGAAAATTAAAGGTGAATACAGGAAAGAGTAAGGTTATGAGGATAACAAAAAGATTAGGTGATGAAAGATTGAATATCAGATTGGAGGGAGAGAGTATGGAGGAGGTGAACGTATTCAGATATTTGGGAGTGGACGTGTCAGCGGATGGGTCTATGAAAGATGAGGTGAATCATAGAATTGATGAGGGAAAAAGAGTGAGTGGTGCACTTAGGAGTCTGTGGAGACAAAGAACTTTGTCCTTGGAGGCAAAGAGGGGAATGTATGAGAGTATAGTTTTACCAACGCTCTTATATGGGTGTGAAGCGTGGGTGATGAATGTTGCAGCGAGGAGAAGGCTGGAGGCAGTGGAGATGTCATGTCTGAGGGCAATGTGTGGTGTGAATATAATGCAGAAATTCGTAGTTTGGAAGTTAGGAGGAGGTGCGGGATTACCAAAACTGTTGTCCAGAGGGCTGAGGAAGGGTTGTTGAGGTGGTTCGGACATGTAGAGAGAATGGAGCGAAACAGAATGACTTCAAGAGTGTATCAGTCTGTAGTGGAAGGAAGGCGGGGTAGGGGTCGGCCTAGGAAGGGTTGGAGGGAGGGGGTAAAGGAGGTTTTGTGTGCGAGGGGCTTGGACTTCCAGCAGGCATGCTTGAGCGTGTTTGATAGGAGTGAATGGAGACAAATGGTTTTTAATACTTGACGTGCTGTTGGAGTGTGAGCAAAGTAACATTTATGAAGGGATTCAGGGAAACCGGCAGGCCGGACTTGAGTCCTGGAGATGGGAAGTACAGTGCCTGCACTCTGAAGGAGGGGTGTTAATGTTGCAGTTTAAAAACTGTAGTGTAAAGCACCCTTCTGGCAAGACAGTGATGGAGTGAATGATGGTGAAAGTTTTTCTTTTTCGGGCCACCCTGCCTTGGTGGGAATCGGCCGGTGTGATAATAAAAAAAAAAAAATAATTTATAAATCAGGCAAAGTTTATGTTCATAGTCTTTGTGTATGAACACACTAAATGGTACAGTAGTGTTTAGAAAGAAATATTTTTTCTCAACAGCCAGGAGGAGGCAAGAAGCAAAATGTTAAGTGGATGTCAGGCAGCTTCACTTGAAGCTGCTGCAAGAATTGCTGAATCTTCAACGACAGTGATGAGTAACATGCAGACCACACAGTTAGGTGAGCACTTATAATGGGCACAAGTTTAGCAGTGACATATATTTAAGTCACTTGGCATACTTTATCTCCTGATGTAATGACCCTTCTGTCACTCTAAGAGTTTATCCTAGTATTATTAATGGTTCAATCTATGATCCTAATTCTTCTGTAATGTCTATGAACTTCTTTTATGATACTTTTACGGAACACCATTTCCTAACTCCTTAATCTAATCTTACTCACAGTAACATAGGTATCCAGTGTTTCTTAAACTAACCCTTTCTCTATTTAAAAAACCTATTTTCTCTTTTGTTTGAAGGTGATGTTTGTACATATTGTCATACTAATACTCTATCACTTCTTATCTCTTGAGTCACCCAATTTGATGCTTGTTGGTTCACAATGGTTATCTGTACAGTTATTAAATTTATGTTGTGTTGTTCACACCTTTATAATGCTTCTTAACCACTATAACTTTTGATTATCTTACTGTTGAATCATTGAAACTTTTTTCATCATCCCCAGGTAGTGTAGGTATCTTTCTTGAAGAATGCAAAACATTGTTCACCATAAAGCCTTGTATCAGTTTTCGGTCCCTAATTCTCAGAAAGAAGTAGCTATCAACCTGTCTGTCGTTAATAATCTACAATAACTTACCAGTTATTCATCAACTAACATGTTTACTCTCCAAACTCTACATCTTTTCCTTTCAACTTGTCTCTTGCCTGATAATTACAGTGGACCCCCGGTTAACGATATTTTTTCACTCCAGAAGTACGTTCAGGTGCCAGTACTGACCGAATTTGTTCCCATAAGGAATATTGTGAAGTAGATTAGTCCATTTCAGACCCCCAAACATACACGTACAAACGCACTTACATAAATACACTTACATAATTGGTCGCATTCGGAGGTGATCGTTATGCGGGGGTCCACTGTATTTGTATTGACCCTGAAATTTTTCACAGCCTCATTTCAATTTTTTTTATTCCTTTCACGCAGTGACCATTCCCCGCCAAAGCAGGATAACCTCAAGAAGAGAACACATTCACAAGTATTCACTCAGTCCCCATCTTTCCAAAAGTGTGCTGAGACCACAGTCATATTATCCTTCGACAGTAACATCCCCACTCCTTTTTCAGTGTAGGCACTGCCTTTCTCACCTCCAGAACTCAACTCTAGTTAACCTGTTTCCCCTTAATTTTCATCTTGCTTAATATTCAATATTTCAGCCCTCCTGCCAATTTGGCCTTTTTACTCAATTGGACTAATTTTACTAATTTTTTATCTTGATTTTTGTATGTAATAAATATAGTTTTATTTTTTCATGATTCATCTTTGTGTGCTAAAGAGCTTACCAGATTATTATTGCTGAATTAGAATATTTCATCATATGTATATTTTTCCCTCACTTCTGTCATTAAGTAATAATTTAATATGTCATGTTCATAGTTATTTTACATTGAAATTCAGCCTTCAGATCATGAAAACATTCATTAATGCATTTGTTTTTAAAGCTTTAAATTTTTTTTTTTTTTTAACAAGTCGGCTGTCTCCCACCGAGGCAGGGTTACCCAAAAAGAAAGAAAATCCCCAAAAAGAAAATAATTTCATCATCATTCAACACTTTCACCTCACTCACAAATAATCACTGTTTTTGCAGAGGTGCCCAGAATAAAACAGTTTAGAAGTACATATATACATGTACGTATAAAATACACAACATATCCCTCCAAACTGCTAATATCCCGAACCCCCTTCTTTAAAGTGCAGGCATTGTACTTCCCATTTCCAGGACTCATGTCCGGTTATATAAAATAACCAGTTTTCCTGAATCCCTTCACTAAATATTACCCTGCTCACACTCCAACAGCTCGTCAGGCCCCAAATACCATTTGTCTCCATTCACTCCTATCTAACACACTCATGCACGCTTGCTGGAAGTCCAAACCCCTCGCCCACAACACCTCCTTTACCCCCTCCCTCCAACCTTTTCAAGGACGACCCCTACCCCGCCTTCCTTCTCCTTCAGATTTATACGCTCTCCATGTCATTCTACTTTGATCCATTCTCTCTAAATGACCAAACCACCTCAATAAACCCTCTTCAGCCCTCTGACTAATATACTTTTATTAACTCCTCACCTTCTCTTAATTTCCACACTCCGAATTTTCTGCATAATATTTACACCACACATTGCCCTTAGACAGGACATCTCCACTGCCTCCAACCGCCTCCTCGCTGCAGCATTTACAACCCAAGCTTCACACCCATATAAGAGTGTTGGTACTACTATACTTTCATACATTCCCTTCTTTGCCTCCATAGATAACATTTTTTGCCTCCATATATACCTCAATGCACCACTCACCTTTTTTCCTTCATCAATTTTGTGATTAACTTCATCTTTCATAAATCCATCCGCCGACATGTCAACTCCCAAATATCTGAAAACATTCACTTCTTCCATACTCCTCCTCCCCAATTTGATATCCAATTTTTCTTTATCTAAATCATTTGATACTCTCATCACCTTACTCTTTTCTATGTTCACTTTCAACTTTCGGCCTTTACATACACTCCCAAATTCATCCACTAACCTTTGCAATTTTTCTTTAGAATCTCCCATAAGCACAGTATCATCAGCAGAAAGTAACTGTGTCACTTCCCATTTTGTATTTAATTCCCCATAATTTAATCCCACCCCTCTCCCGAACACCCTAGCATTTACTTCTTTTACAACCCCATCTATAAATATATTAAACAACCATGGTGACATTACACATCCTTGTCTAAGACCTACTTTTACCGGGAAGTAGTCTCCCTCTCGTCTACATACCCTAACCTGAGCCTCACTATCCTCATAAAAACTCTTTACAGCATTTAGTAACTTACCAACTATTCCATATACTTGCAACATCTGCCACATTGCTTCCCTATCCACTCTGTCATATCTTCTTTCTTTCAACACACCGGCCGTATCCCACCGAGGTGGGGTGGCCCAAAAGGAAAAACGAAAGTTTCTCCTTTTATATTTAGTAATATATACAGGAGAAGAGGTTACTAGCCCCTTGCTCCCGGCATTTTAGTCGCCTCTTACAACACGCATGGCTTACGGAGGAAGAATTCTGTTCCACTTCCCCATGGATATAAGAGGAAATAAACAAGAATAAGAACTAGAAAGAAAATAGAAGAAAACCCAGAGGGGTGTGTATATATGTGCTTGTATATGTATGTGTAGTGTGACCTAAGTGTAAGCAGAAGTAGCAAGACATACCTGAAATCTTGCATGTTCATGAAACAGAAAAAAGGACACCAGCAATCCTACCATCATGTAAGACAATCACAGGCTTTCGTTTTACACTCACTTGGTAGGACGGTAGTACCTCCCTGGGCGGTTGCTGTCTACCAACCTACTACCTAGGCTCTAACATATACCTTTTCTAAATCCAGTCTTAGTTAGTAATCCTCTTTTTAAAACTTGTACTTGTGACAGGATCTGGTCAAGCTGCTTCTGTCATGAGCAATAATACTGGTATTATGGGAGGAGGAGGAGGAGCAGGAACTCATGCTAACATGGCTGGGAATCAGATGCTTCAGCTACAGGCTCCAGGATCCAGTGCCACACGTTTCCTCCTTGTCCGTGCAGGGGCCAATGGAGAGGTAGCCCCAGTGCAAGGTGGAACGCATGTAGGAATACCCAGAGGAATACTTTTGCCCACCAGTCTAGTTGGTGGGCAGATGCCCTTCATGCTAGCTGGATCATCACCTCGGCAGCAACAAGGCACAACGCCCATCATGCTGTCAGGCTCCATGCAACAGCAGCAAGCTACCAACCCTCTCATGTTGTCTGGAAACCTCCAGCAGCAACAGGTTGCCACTCCCATTATGCTCTCAGGCTCGGCACATCATCAACAAGTTTCATCCCCTATCATGCTGCCTGTTCCTACCTCTGCACAACAACAGCAGGTTGCTGCTTTGTTCCAACAAGCCACATCCATGATGCAGCCAACACTGGAAAAACCATCTGAAAAACAGCAAAAATCATTTTCAAAAGTAAGCCACATCTATTTGTGTACATATTATCCATAATACAGCAGGCATATGTGAGCATGTTAGATAAGAGTGAATGGAGACAAATGGTTTTTGGGACTTGACAAGCTGTTGGAGTGTGAGCAGGGTAATATTTTGTGGAGGGATTCAAGGAAACCAGTTAGCCTGATTGGAGTCCTGGAGATGGGAAGAGCAATTCCTGCACTTTAAAGGAGGGGTTTGGGGTATTTACTGTTTGGAGTGACATCTGAACTGTTGTATCTGAGCACCTCTGCAAAGACAGTGATTATGTGTGAATGATGGTGAAAATGTGGAATGATGGTGAAAGTGTTTCTTTCTTTCATTTTGTTTTTAACACATTACTTAGCATCAATTTCTGAAAATTCCCTGTATGCAAATAGAATAAGATAGAGTTCCTTGATATTCAAGGGCTCATTAATCTTCAGTTTAGTATATTTTCCAAAAGTGCAAGATGCATTTTCAACAAAAGTTAAAAATTTAGGAAAGCATGTTTGATCAGCCAGACTGTTGTGCCTTTGTTTTGATCTGAGTCACCAACACACAAAACTCTGACTCACTAAGTAAAAGTAAATGCAATAATTTTCTTAGTCACAAATATTTCATATTCTGTATGTTCATGATTCAATACCAAAGTTAAAATTTTATTTTTGCTGTTCCTTAGGGTGGTCTGAAATCAGAATGTCAGTACTTCCTTCGTGATTTAAGTCAGAGCTACCGATTACTGCTTCGTGTTTTTAAGTACCTGTCTGTAAAGGATTTATTGAAGGCATCTCAAGTTTGTCTTCTCTGGCGAGATTTGGCCTATAGCCCTTCTCTGGTAAGTTTTTAAAGCATTTTGATGAATCTTTTGCCTGCTTTATTTTATTTTACAACAGTACTGAATGTATTAGGCTGTATAAGTGAAAGTTTTTATTAGTGGCCATCAAAATATGGAGGTTTTAAGGGATATTGTTTACTTTGACATTTTGGCAAAAGTGGTGCTGACAACATAAACTACTGTGTTGTGTGAGTTGTTGAATAGAATTTGGCAAGTAATTACAGTGAAGGAGGCATTGAAGAGACATACTATTATTGTTATCCTGAGAGATACCAGTGTTATTTACATCAATTATTTTTTTTGTGGTCATGAGTCATAAAAGATATTTAGATTGAAAATGGAAGGTCTGTAGTCAGAAAAGAAACAAAATTCTCTAACTTGATCAACATAGTTAATACATGTTTTTGCAAAATACTTTTTTTTATTTACTTAACAATCATCAATCATATTTGAGCTTTTGGGAAAAAAAAAAAAAAGGAATTACTAGCCTTGTGCTTCCGGCATTTTAGTCGCCTCTTACGACATGCATTGCTTATGAAAGGATTCTTTTCTACTTCCCTTGAATAATAATAATAATAATACGTTGGGAGATGACCGACTTGTTGAAAAAAAAAAATAATAATACTGTGCCTAAAAGGAAAAACAGTTCTTGTTACCATTCTTTCATGGTGCAATGAGAAGGCATTGATGATGACACCTTGTTTAAATGGTTTATGCACTCTTGTGCTAGAGGTCAATTCCAAGAAACCCTTGATGTTGGTGAATGGCTTTTGTTCCAGAAAATTGGAACTACCCACCACTTCCTGATCTCCAATTCCCCAGGTGCTGTATGATCCCTATGGGTTTAGCACTTCCTCCTGGATATATAATACTGTGTCTCAGGTATGAGAATTTGAGAAAAGAGCGTAGTCTACTCAAGGTTTCTATTCTTAGCACTTGTCTTTAGTCATCCTTGTGAGATATTGCAAGAGATCATCTCATTTATATAGGTAGTGCTTGTGCCACCCCACACTTCTGCCTCACTCTAACCCCTGTTTTTGAGGATTATTAAGACCTTCAAGTGTTAGCATACCATGAGGTCTGTGAGGAAGTTCATAACATCCTCAAGAATCAACATCATCTTGAAGACACTTGTATTATGCAGTACATAATTTTTGTAATTCAACTTTTCCTCTTTTTTTTTTTTTTTCGTAAATCACTCATTTTGTACTAAAATTGCGTGCTGTATATTATCTAACTTTCTTTAAAATTTACAGTGGAGAACTGTTCGTCTGCGAAATGTGTGCGTCCGTGATTGGAATGATCTAGCTAGATTTTTAGAGAGGCGTAATACAAGAAATATCGACTTGAGAAAAATGGTCTTTAGAGAAAAGCTTGGTAGGAACAAAACTGAGGTAAGTTTTCATACTGTTTGATAGCGCAAGGTTGAAGCAGATGTAATAATTTGAAACCTAGCAAGCTTTACATCATCAACCTTATATTAAATGTGTAGCTTATGAAAATTGGTTCATTACTCTCTTGGGCATCACTGATGAAAGAAGATAAACCACTGGTGTAAAAAGATACTTTTTTTTTTTAATGACAGCAAACAATGCTATGACTAGAGGTGTGTGATGTTATAATTTTTTCCCTTCAGTATTTCAGTTTTGTGCATACTACATGAAAATACATCCCTCATTCTTTTTAATTTTTTGTAGATTTTCCCTGTGAAAGATGAGCAATATTTGGGGTGGCATTATAAGGTTTTTAGCTAAAAGGTCATTCTTCAATAAAATGCATATTTAAAATGATGACATTATAATTCTTGAAGGATATATGATTCTAATTTAACTTTAACCATATGTCACAGAGCAGTGATACCAACAAAGAAGAGTTCAGCTCTCCATCAAGAAGAAAGTCAGAAGGACTTAGTACAAATGCTACAACTTCATCACCTGATAACCTCACTACTAAGCAGGATTCCTTGGCTTCAGTGAATGAAGATTTGCCAGAAGAATTATGCTCCACAAAAGAATATAGCAACAAAACTAAAGAAAGACATACTGAAGATGGGAACATCGATAAAAGACGTAAGAAGAATGAAAGTTCTGAAAATCAAGAATCTAGAGGAACAATTACAAGCACTTCAGAGACACCAGAAAATAATTATCTAAAGGAAATTTCTCAAGAAGACAAAGAGATGGCAGAAAATAAGAATGATATTCTTGGTAAGAGCACATCTCAAAATGCAGTACAGAGGGATGGAAAAGAGATTGTAAGTGGCTCTGATGCTGAGGAAAATAAAGGCAGTTCTAAAGAAGATATTCTAAATGTATCACAAGGCTCTGAAAGTCTCTTCCAAAAATCAAGTTCAGAAAATTGTAAGGATGCAGAAGGTTTACCAACATTTGAGCCAAAACATGATGATGAAAAAATGGAATGTGATACTGTTGAAGGGATTTCTGATAAAGATAGAGAGACATCAAGAAGAAAAGCTTCGAAAGCAAAGGATTCCAGGGAGAAACAAAGTAAGTTATATTAATGAAATCTGTACATGAATGGTGTACAATACCAAGATGAAGAATTAGATGTGCAACATCTGGGAATCTTTATTTGTAAACGTTTTGCCATTTAGTGGTTTTATCAATACAATACAATGTGAACCTATATACAAAAGATGAGGTAATCAGTCCCTCAGCCTTGGAGTTAGTGAAGAACACCATAGTCTTTAGACTGAGTACCTCAACTTTTGCATATATGTACTAGTTATACATTCTTCACATTCTGTCCATGTATTGTATTGATAAAGCCACTGGATGACAGCTTCTACAAATAAAGTTACTCGGTTGTTGCACGTGTCTAATTCTTCATTAACAATATCTAGTAAACTATATTTTTGTCTGGCAAGACAGTGGTAGTATGAATGATGGTGAAAGTGTTTCTTTTTTGCATCACCCTATCTTGGTGGGAGATGGTCAGTGTGTTAAAAAGAGTAATATTTTTGTAATAGCAATTATGCTTTGGAACTTATAAATCTCTCATATTGTAATTTTTAAGCTATGCAAAATGGCCCTGGATGAAAGGAAATTGAAGTTTCATATTTATACAGACATTGTATAGATCAGTATTTCTTTATGCATTCCATTATCACATACCACACTGGCCATTTTTTTATTATTACCTAAGGCCTTCAAAGCCTCTCCCCTACTCTTCTTGATTGTCATAATCTAATTTTATCATTCATTCTTTCCTTTTTAACACTTTGGCCATCTCCTACCATGCAGAAAAATAAGCATTCAACTCATTTAGACCTTTCATGTTCCAGTAATACTGAGTGATGTTTCACTTATAATCAGTTCATGTTCCATAATTTTCTAATGTCACATATTGGGCAATCTTAGATGTTAAATAGCCATAGTAACATTACATGTACAAGGTACATTCTTATTTTTATTTAAAATCATTCACTTATGCTGCACAACTGTTGGCTCTTCTGTAACTTTCTGTTTTGTTTTTAAGATATAAGAAAGACAGAAGAGGAGGTTTGGAAAGTCATCTTTAATGCATTAGGCACTGTGAGGAGCATGAGGGCTGTGACTCTTCCCACTTGTGAAGGTGAGGTTCTGCAGATGCTCCTCACAAGATGTAAACAACTTACTTCAGTTAGTGCTACTGAATTCCGTTCAGCTTCAGGTGCTGCCAGGTATGTGGGTACTGTGTTGCTGGGTATGTATGTGTGGGTACTGAACTGCTGGGTATGTATGTGTGGGTACTGTGCTGGTGGGTATGTATGTGTGGGTACTGTGCTGCTGGGTATGTATATATGTGGGTACTGTGCTGGTGGGTATGTATGTGTGGGTACTGTGCTGCTGGGTATGTATGCATGTGGGTACTGTGCTGCTGGGTATGCTTGTGTGGGTACTGTGCTGCTGGATATGTATATGTGGGTACTGTGCTGCTGGGTATTTATTTATTTATTTTATGTCTTTGCAAACAGTACATTGAGATTTTATATTTACAATAGTGGGTTGCAATGCAAAGATAACCTCTATTATGCCTAGGCATTATGGGCCAACTTAACATTATTGGCTTACAGTCTACTTAACACTAAGGAGTATATCATAGTTGTACAGTAGGATAGTAATTATTTCATAGTTGTACAGTAGAATATTACATATTGTCGGTAATTCTACCAACTTTATTACAGAATATTAATTATAAATGAATCAAAATTTGTATAATACAAAGATATACATGTATTTATATTTGAAAATGCTTTTTGTGTAAACAATGATTCAATTATATTCCTGTCAACAATGGATAAAAGGTTCAGTGTGATTTTTTCAGTTATGATGTGGGAGTACATAGGTGAGTAAGTGTGTAGTGAGTATTTAGCATTTAGTCTAGGGCTTTTGAGAAGAGTCTTAAATTGATTTTCAGACTGGGTTACTTTAATATCTTCTGGTAATGAATTCCATATTTTGGGGCCCTTTATGTGCATAGAGTTTTTACACAGTGTGATATGGACACGAGGTATATCAAAAAGAGATCTGTGTCTTGTGTTGTGGTCATGTGTCCTGATTAGGTTGGTGAGGAGAAGTTTGAGTGGGGGGTTTATATTTGCGTGTATTGTTCTGTGTGTGTAGTAGGCACATGAATAAGTATGGATGTTCTTAATGGTGAGCAGATTGAGACTTTTGAAAATTGGTGGAGTATGCTGGCAGGAGTGAGAATTTGTTATCATTCTTACTGCTGCCTTTTGCTGGGTTATTAGGGGTTTTAGGTGATTGGATGTTGTTGATCCCCATGCACAAATTCCATATGTAAGATAAGGGTATATGTGTGAATGGTACAGTGCCAGGAGAGCTGATTGTGGAACGTAGTACCTTATCTTTGATAGATGCCTACAGTCTTGGAGATTTTCTTGGTGATTTGTTGTATGTGTGTCCGGAACTTCAGGCTACTGTCAAGGTGGATACCTAGGAATTTTTCCTCTGTGAGTCTTGTGACTGATGATCCATTTAGTGTTATGTTAATTGGATCATTTGCAGCTTTGTTTCCAAACTGAATGAAATAGGTTTTATCAGTGTTCAGGGTAAGTTTGTTAGTCATCATCCAGGCAGATATTTTCTGTAATTCAGCATTGACTGTGTTTGCTAGTATGACTGTGTTTGGGTGGGAAAAGACATACGTAGTGTCATCTACAAATAATATGGGTTTGAGTAGTTGTGATGCATTCAGTAGATCATTGATGTAGATGAGAAAGAGGAGTGATCCAAGGACGCTTCCTTGTGGGACTCCTACTGTGATTGGGTGGGTTGAAGAGTTTGCATCATTTGCATACACATATTGAGTTCTGTTACTAAGGTAGGACTTTAGGTAGTTGAGGGAGTGGCCTCTGATACCATAGTGCATTAATTTGGAGTACAGCAGTTCATGGTCGACTGTATCGAAAGATTTACGTAAATCAATGAAAATGCCCAGCGGGACTTCTTTCTTTTCAAGTGCGGTATATATTAGTTCTAGCATGTGTATGATAGCATCATTTGTGCTTTTATTATTCCTTAATCCAAACTGACAAGGGTTTAATATGTTGTGTGAAATGAGGTAGGAATAGATCTGTCTATGAATTAATTTTTCAAAGATTTTAGAGAGCAGTGGTAAGTTAGATATTGGTCTATAGTTATTCAAGTCAGCTTGGTCACCTCCTTTATGGATTGGAGTGACCCTCGCTATTTTGAGGATTGTTGGGAAGGTAGATGATTCAATGGATTTGTTAAAGAGCATTGCAATAATTGGTGACAATACTTGAGAAGCTTTTTTGTACATAAAAGCAGGCAAGTTGTTTATGTCTCCTGCCTTGTTTTTAAGGGTGTTTATGATGAGCGTAACTTCAATGGGGTTGGTTGGAGCTAGGAATAGCGTATTTGGGTAGGTACCTATGAGATAGTCTGATGGATGGGTGTGTGTGCTTGGTATTTTGTTTGCTAGATTTTTTTCCTATGGTGGAGAAGAAAACATTAAGTCTGTTTGCTGTTTCGGTTGGAGTGAGTAGGGGTTCATCTGATTTTGTTAGTTTGATTGCTTTTTTTTTGGATAACTTTTTGGTTCCAAGAATTTCAGATAGAGTTTTCCAGGTTTTTTCATATCACCTTTGATGTTATGGACTCTATTTTCATAATACTACAGTTTTTTGACCTTCTTATCAGGCTGGTAAGTGCTGACGATATGTATGTATGCATGTGGTACTGTGCTGCTGGTTATGCTTGTGTGGGTACTGTGCTGCTGGGTATGTATGTGTGGGTACTGTGCTGCTGGGTATGTATGTTTGTGGGTACTGTACTGCTGGGTATGTATGTGTGGGTACTGTGCTGGTGGGTATGTATGTGTGGGTACTGTGCTGCTGGGTATGTATGTGTGTGGGTACTGTGCTGTGGGTATGTATGTGTGGGTACTGTGCTGCTGGGTATGTATGCATGTGGGTACTGTGCTGCTGGGTATGCTTGTGTGGGTACTGTGCTGCTGGGTATGTATATGTGGGTACTGTGCTGTTGGGTATGTGTGGGTACTGTGCTGCTGGGTATGTATGTTTGTGGGTACTGTGCTTCTGGGTATGTATGTATGTATGTGGTACTGTGCTGGTGGTTATGCTTGTGTGGGTACTGTGCTGCTGGGTATGTATGTGTGGGTACTGTGCTGCTGGGTATGCATGTTTGTGGGTACTGTGCTGCTGGGTATGTATGTGTGGTACTGTTCTGCTGGGTATGTATGTGTGGTACTGTGCTGCTGGGTATGCTTGTGTGGTTACTGTGCTGCTGGGTATGTATGTGTGGGGTATGCTGTCAGATCTGTGTGTATGTGTAGGTACTGTGCTACTGGATACGCTAAGGAGAGTACATAGTTTATGTAGCCAGCTTATCTTACTGTTATTAAGAGAGAAAACTTTGTAACGCTTCATCTCTCTTTGGTGATTTGTTTTTTAGCGATTGAGGGATTAAGTAATCTCTTGCATATCTCTATTCAGATCTTCACCCCATTCAATGTATATCCCTCTTGATGTTACAGGGATGTACATTCAGAAGTCAACATTCCCTATTTTTTCTTGGCTACTTTGTTACTAAATGTGTTGTGGCTTTATTTTTGTAATTTGCTTATTTGTGGTTAAATACACAGTATATATTTTTTATAGGTTTATGTTACTTAACTGACATGTTTTTTAAATAATTCCCACACCTTGCTTAGTAAGGCAAAGTGGTGTTTATTTGGCTTTCTAATAAAGCAAGGGGAAGATGTATAGGAAATTCTTCAGACAGCTGTTGCATCTGTTTACTTGTATTATCAACATTAGCAGTAATATTTGAGGTGGGAGGTGGAGGCTTGCATTCGTTTCCTCAAACATCTACTGACTCTAGTCAATGCATGTGGTGTAGCTGATTTCCTTTTTTCTCCTCTGTTAAACACAATACAGTGGGCCCCCGGTTTACGATCAGCTCCCAATGCGACCAATTATGTAAGTGTATTTATCTAAGTGCGTTTGTATGTGTATGTTTGGGGCTCTGAAATGGACTAATCTAATTCACAATAATCCTTATGGGAACAAATTCGGTCAGTACTGGCACCTGAACATACTTCTGGAATGAAATAATATCGTAAACCGGGGGTCCACTGTATTATCAGCCCCTTATGCATAGACCATTTGAAGTAAGAGTTATGTAGATAATTCAGATACATATATTTAGAAGTCAGATAAACAAAATACAGTGGAACCTCAAAAATCGAACTGCTGCCAACTCAACCAATTGTGTAAGTGTATTTTTGTAAGTGCTTTTATAAGTGTATTTTTGAGGGTTTGAAATGGACTAATCTAATTTACATTATTCCTGATGGGAATAAATTCATTTGGTAATGGCACTTGGACAGCCTTCTGGACTGAAGAAAGTTCGATATTTGAGGTTCCACTGTATGTGCTTTCTCAATAATTGATGGGAACCAAAGCCAGAGTCAGCAGCACTTGCCACAGCTTCTGACACAGATTCTAACACTATAATTTTATTATGTTTACATTAAACCCTTGATTTAACAGACTTCAGTTTCAAACACTTGGGAAACATGGGACAAAATTTGCTGGGTTGTTGCATTCAGTAACAATGGATAAGGTCTGTTGGTTATAGAATTGTCCACAAGGTTACGATTACAGAAAAACGATCTCATATCTATACACTACAATCACTATTACTGACCACCTCAGTGCAGAAGGATGCAGTGAGAGTAGTTCGAGAGCAAAGAAGTATGAGCTACAAAGAGAGGCTAAAGGAATTAAATCTAAATGACCCTGGAGGGCAGAAAGACCAGGGAAGACATGATAACAGCATACAAAATACTCATAGAAATTGATATTCAGACAAGGACAGGCTGTTTGACAGGCAGGAAACAGGTACTCAAGGACACAGATGAATTATAGGGATGTCAAGAAGTATTTCTTTGGCCTCAAGGTGGTCGGGAAGAGGAATGACCTCAACCGGTGGTGGAGGCAGACTCCGTTTTTAGTTTTAAGAATAGGTATGATAGGGCCTACAAAGCTATGAGAGATTAAATGTTGGAAGTGGAAAGTTGAGAGGCAGGGCCAGGAGCTGAGACTCGACCTTTGCAGCCTTATATAGATGAGTACATATAGACAAGTACAGGCTGGGGGCAAAGCTCTAACACGTTTCTTGTATGTATTGAAATGAGGCGTCATCAAGCAAAAACATTCACTAATGCATCAATGGGCATGCATTATTAAGAGTAGCCTTACTCTTTCTTTATCATATGCGTGTGTCTGAGGCTTTTATCACAATTTTTAAATAAAAATACGAGTCATGTGCTTGAATGACTACAATGCTTCTTATTCACTGCTAATGATGATAATTTTTTTTTTATATAATTGCAGTGCTCCATTCCATTTTATTTTTATTGATAATTGATATTTTTATAGGTTTGATCCAGCTTATCTAATGGAAGCCTCAGAGTTAGAGGAGCTGCGAATTGGTTCCTCAAAGGGCTTTTTTCTGACTAACAACTTCAATTTTATAAAACTACAAAAGCTCCGGGTGTTGGTATGTGTCTCACATGGTCTAAATATCTCAATATTAGTGTATTTGTATATTTTATCTGTTAATTTTTCTACTTTTCTCTTTCTGGCTGATAATTCAAGAAAGCGTTAATGGATTTGTTCATATAAACTGTTTTGCCAGCCAATTGTTTACAGATGCTATTGTTCTACTTACACTCACATGTATGATATAAATATTCACTTACAAAATAGCCCTCTACTAGCCCTAAGTATACCCAAAATGTTTTGTGCTTATTAGTACTGTACTGTTGGCTTCACCAAAATCCCCTCATCCAAATGTATTTTCCTAAATTTACCTTTCTTAAAACAATCATTTGCTTATACAGAGAGTATGTTTTGAAAAAGAGGATTAATAAATATACAAGGTATGATGTAGCACGTAATGAAAGTAGTTTATTAGATTATGTATTGGTGGATAAAAGGTTGATGGGTAGGCTCCAGGATGTACATGTTTATAGAGGGGCAACTGATATATCGGATCATTATTTAGTTATAGCTACAGTTAGAGTAAGAGGTAGATGGGAAAAGAGGAAGGTGGCAACAACAAGTAAGAGGGAGGTGAAAGTGCATAAACTAAGATAGGAGGAAGTTCGGGTGAGATATAAGCGACTATTGGCAGAAAGGTGGGCTAGTGCAAAGATGGGTAGTGGGGGGGTTGAAGAGGGTTGGAATAGTTTTAAAAATGCAGTATTAGAATGTGGGGCAGAAGTTTGTGGTTATAGGAGGGTGGGGGCAGGAGGAAAGAGGAGTGATTGGTGGAATGATGAAGTAAAGGGTGTGATAAAAGAGAAAAAGGTAGCTTATGAGAGGTTTTTACAAAGCAGAAGTGTTATAAGAAGAGCAGAGTATATGGAGAGTAAAAGAAAGGTAAAGAGAGTGGTGAGAGAGTGCAAAAGGAGAACAGATGATAGAGTGGGAGAGGCACTGTCAAGAAATTTTAATGAAAATAAGAAAAAATTTTGGAGTGAGTTAAACAAGTTAAGAAAGCCTAGGGAAAGTATGGATTTGTCAGTTAAAAACAGAGTAGGGGAGTTAGTAGATGGGGAGATGGAGGTATTAGGTAGATGGCGAGAATATTTTGAGGAACTTTTAAATGTTAAGGAAGAAAGAGAGGCAGTAATTTCATGCACTGGCCAGGGAGGTATACCATCTTTTAGGAGTGAAGAAGAGCAGAATGTAAGTGTGGGGGAGGTATGTGAGGCATTACATAGAATGAAAGGGGGTAAAGCAGCTGGAACTGATGGGATCATGACAGAAATGTTAAAAGCAGGGGGGGATATAGTGTTGGAGTGGTTGGTACTTTTGTTTAATAAATTTATGAAAGAGGGGAAGGTACCTAGGGATTGGCAGAGAGCATGTATAGTCCCTTTATATAAAGGGAAAGGGGACAAAAGAGATTGTAAAAATTATAGAGGAATAAGTTTACTGAGTATACCAGGAAAAGTGTACGGTAGGGTTATAATTGAAAGAATTAGAGGTAAGACAGAATGTAGGATTGCGGATGAGCAGGGAGGCTTCAGAGTGGGTAGGGGATGTGTAGATCAAGTGTTTACATTGAAGCATATATGTGAACAGTATTTAGATAAAGGTAGGGAAGTTTTTATTGCATTTTGGATTTAGAAAAGGCATATGATAGAGTGGATAGAGGAGCAACGTGGCAGATGTTGCAAGTACATGGAATAGGTGGTAAATTATTAAATGCTGTAAAGAGTTTTTGTGAGGATAGTGAGGCTCAGGTTAGGGTGTGTAGAAGAGAGGGAGACTACTTCCCGGTAAAAGTAGGTCTTAGACAGGGATGTGTAATGTCACCATGGTTGTTTAATATATTTATAGATGGGGTTGTAAAGGCAGTAAATGCTAGGGTGTTCGGGAGAGGGGTGGGATTAAATTATGGGGAATCAAATTCAAAATGGGAATTGACACAGTTACTTTTTGCTGATGATACTGTGCTTATGGGAGATTCTAAAGAAAAATTGCAAAGGTTAGTGGATGAGTTTGTTAATGTGTGTAAAGGTAGAAAGTTGATAGTGAACATAGAAAAGAGTAAGGTGATGAGGGTATCAAATGATTTAGATAAAGAAAAATTGGATATCAAATTGGGGAGGAGGAGTATGGAAGAAGTGAATGTTTTCAGATACTTGGGAGTTGACGTGTCGGCGGATGGATTTATGAAGGATGAGGTTAATCATAGAATTGATGAGGGAAAAAAGGTGAGTGGTGCGTTGAGGTATATGTGGAGTCAAAAAACGTTATCTATGGAGGCAAAGAAGAGAATGTATTAAAGTATAGTAGTACCAACACTCTTATATGGGTGTGAAGCTTGGGTGGTAAATGCAGCAGCGAGGAGACGGTTGGAGGCAGTGGAGATGTTCTGTTTAAGGGCAATGCATGGTGTAAATATTATGCAGAAAATTCAGAGTGTGGAAATTAGGAAAAGGTGTGGAGTTAATAAAAGTATTGGTCAGAGGGCAGAAGAGGGGTTGTTTCGGTGGTTTGGTCATTTAGAGAATGGATCAAAGTAGAATGACATGGAAAGCATATAAATCTATAGGGGAAGGAAGGCGGGGTAGGGGTCGTCCTCGAAAGGGTTGGAGAGAGGGGGTAAAGGAGGTTTTGTGGGCGTGGGGCTTGGACTTCCAGCAAGCGTGCGTGAGCGTGTTAGATAGGAGTGAATGGAGACGAATGTTACTTGGGACCTGACGATCTGTTGGAGTGTGAGCAGGGTAATATTTAGTGAAGGGATTCAGGGAAACTGGTTATTTTCATATAGTCAGACTTGAGTCCTGGAAATGGGAAGTACAATGCCTGCACTTTAAAGGAGGGGTTTGGGATATTGGCAGTTTGGAGGGATATGTTGTGTATCTTTATACGTATATGCTTCTAAACTGTTGTATTCTGAGCACCTCTGCAAAAACAGTGATAATGTGTGAGTGTGGTGAAAGTGTTGAATGATGATGAAAGTATTTTCTTTTTGGGGATTTTCTTTCTTTTTTGGGTCACCCTGCCTCGGTGGGAGACGGCCGACTTGTTGAAAAAAAAAAAAATTGTTTTGTAATAGGTTTGTTTTATGTACGAAGCTATTAACTACATTTCTGTAGTCAGATTACATATTTTAGATAAGATTCAAGTCCTTGCATTGTTTTTTATAAGGATAATTCTTCACTCAGGTAATGATAAGTTACATTTGCATAAAATCTACTGTTTTACATTTAGTCATTAAATGTCACATTTACCTATTTTATCAAACTGCATGTCGTAGATATGGTATGATTCCTTATATTATTTGTAATAATCATAATTGTTTGTGCAGGTGATGAGGGGCTTGTCAGGACCTTGTTGGCCCTACCTGGGCACTAACCTTACTTCACTTCATGTTGGTCCCATCAGCAACTTTTCTCCACAGACTTGGATTAATATTGGCAGTATGACAAGTGAGTTCCTTTATCACTGTACTTCCAAAGAATGAAGAAATGATCAAAATACTCATACCTTTCACAGGATGAAGAAATTACCTAGAATGAAGAAATTGTAGATCAATTCTCATATCCAATAAGAATGAAAAATGAAGGTACTTGTTATACTTCCTATTATTTTCTTTATAACTGTGATTAAATCCAAGATCTTTCAACACAGTTACCTCTAGAGACTTGTGCAGTGTTTCTTTTTTGCTCCATCAAGTTTTTTTTTTTTTTTTTTTTTTTTTTCATTTTGTAATCTGTTGAAGTTTTTATATATCCATTTTCCATATCACAGTAAAATTTGTCCTCATTGAACAAGATCCTGTTTTCTGTGTCTCACTGAAAGACTTGGTTTATATAGGTCTTGAGATTTACCAGGGCCTCAGTGGCTGCCACTCTCATACAGATTCTAGTTTCATATGTGAAGGATATTTCAATACTGTGGTATATTATGTTTATCTGATCTATATATAAACTGTTGTGTTCACACTTGGAACTCATCATTAAGCTATTAATAGTATGTTGAAATTCTAAATTAACAATTTAAGTGCTTTGACAGATGTCTGACAAAGATAGTTGAAGGAAGGAGAGGTCTTCAATGGAACTAGACAGTATAAATTAGTAAAGCTGTACATCTATAATTCTGTTGTCACTTCTCTTACCCTTCTCTTAACATAGACCTGGAGGCACTTTGGCTTGAAGATGGAGGCTCTCTTAATGACGCTTTCATTTATGATGCAATAAGTCGACTCTGCAAGCTGAGTCGATTATGCCTCTTCAATTTCACTGTGGGAGCCAAGCTAGGACAGGCAGTAAAAAAGCTGCTTCATCTAGAGAGATTATTTGTTCTACCAGCACCATCAGAGGATGTAAGTAGTAGTATTATTGTATATCCAGGTAACTAAACTCCATGGGTGAGTAGAGAAGAATCCTCCATAAGCCATGCATGTTTGAGGTGACTAAAATGTTGGGAGCAAGGGGCTAGTAACCCCTTCTGTATAAATTACTAAATGTAAGAAAAGAAACTTTTATTTATTCTTTTTCAGGTCACCCTGCCTCTGTGGGAGGCGACCGATGTGTTAAAAAGAAAAAAATTACGTAAAGTGAGCAATACTAATGTTACCCGAAAGTTGACTGCAGCAAGAAACATAGCTGTAAGCTCACCACTGGCAGCCTTTGCCTAAAGTACTCATGATCTGTTCTGAATCACCAGTGTACCTCTAATACTAATAATCTGAATTTTGATGTTAACACTCAGAATGATGGTGAAGGCGTGTTCTTTATGGTCACCCAGCCTTGGCAGGAGATTGCCGAGTTGAAAATATTATAATTATTTTGATTATTTTTAACGTGCTGGCTGTCTCCCACCAAGGCAGGGTGACCTGAAAAAGAAACACTTTCACCACTATTCACACTATCATTGTCTTGCCAGAGGTGAGCAGATGCAACTGTATCATGATTTTTTTTATAGTGGATATAATTATACTACAGTGGCACCTCGACTTATGAGTGCCCCAACATACGAGTTTTTCGAGTTACGAGCTGTCACTTGGTCAGTTTTTTGCTCTGAGTTATGAGCCAAAATCCGAGTTACGAGCGAGCTTCAGAACACCGCCACTAGTTGGCGCAGCGAACACCACAACGTCCACTCAGTAGTGCATGTGTTTACCTCGTTGTGGAAGCATTTCTCTTGTGTTGTGCTTGTGTTTTGTGCAGTTATTTTGCCAAATTTCTTTTTTCCAGCCATGGGTCTTAAGAAAGTAAGTACAAAGGACAGTGATGAGAAGAAAAAGAGGATGATGTCCATTGAATTAAAGAATGAAATCATACATAAACACGAGCGAAGTGTGCGGGTTGTGGACTTGGCCAGGCAGTACCAGCATAGTACTTCTATGATATGTATGATACTAAAGCAGGCGTCGATAAAAGCTATAGTGCCAGCTGAGTGATAAAGTGTAGCAATTAAGTTCAGCGATAAAGTGTAGCATTAAGAGTGTAGCAAGCAGCCTTTCTTTTCTACCCTCCGCCTCTGCCAGCATTTGTTCTCCAAGGTAAATATGTACACTTTATAAAACCAATTTATTCCTTTACATTCTCTTATTTTTTATTGTTTTTATACAGTATTTCTTATTTTTAAATACATTGTTTCAGTGTTTTCCTTATGAAACTATTGATCTAGTGCAGTTAGCCTCACAAACACTCCATTTTCAGAAGGGGAAGATACGGTCAGAGTGGGAGCGGGAGTGGCCGCCACCACTCGTCACATAATGACATTTTATTCATTCTAGAGTATATATCATGTTTCTATGTTATTTATATTGTTTATTATGTCATATTAGATCAATTATGTTAGATAAATAAGCCATAGAGTTGATATTAGCATTACATTGTAGTATTTTCTCCTGCCTCCCAAGAGCAGGAATTCTACTGGAACGGAATAATGGCATTTCAGTTAATTTCAATGAGGAAAATTTATTTGATATACAAGCAAATTGAGTTATGAACTACTTCACGGAACGGATTAAATTCGTAAGTCAAGGTACCACTGTATGTGCAAATTCTGGTTGAAGAGTCCATAGTACACAGTGTTTTGGGCAGCACTGAAGGTAATAGTTTTGCATGGCTAGAGAAGCACGATAAAAATGAGGTGATACTAATATTTACAAGTAAAATAATACTAGTTATGGTAGTTTATCCTTACTGCAATTGTTTTTTTTTTGATGACATAATGGTTGTAAAGCAGCTTTTAAGAGAAACAGGAAATTCCCACATATACATATATTGTGTTCTTGATTTTTAAATTTGCAAGCAAATTGTTTCTATAAAAACAGTGGTCCTTTAGGGAGGTGCTTTTTTTACTCTGAAGTAATTGGCAATTTTGTCAAAGGAGTGAACTAGGGTGGGTAAACCTGTTTCAGGGCACTTACAGACTTCAAGCTGATTATTATTTTTATTATCACACTGGCCGATTCCCACCAAGGCGGGGTGGCCCGAAAAAGAAAAGCTTTCAGCAGCATTCACTCCATCACTGTCTTACCAGAAGGGTGCTTTACACTACAGTTTTTAAACTGCAACATTGACACCCCTCCTTCAGAGTGCAGGCACTGTACTTCCCATCTCCAGGACTCAAGTCCGGCCTGCCGGTTTCCCTGAACCCTTTCATAAATGTTACTTTGCTCACACTCCAACAGCACGTCAAGTATTAAAAACCATTTGTCTCCATTCACTCCTATCAAACACGCTCACGCATGCCTGCTGGAAGTCCAAGCCCCTCGCACACAAAACCTCCTTTACCCCCTCCCTCCAACCTTTCCTAGGCCGACCCCTACCCCGCCTTCCTTCCACTACAGACTGATACACTCTTGAAGTTATTCTGTTTCGCTCCATTCTCTCCACATGTCCGAACCACCTCAACAACCCTTCCTCAGCCCTCTGGACAACAGTTTTGGTAATCCCGCACCTCCTCCTAACTTCCAAACTACGAATTCTCTGCATTATATTCACACCACACATTGCTCTCAGACATGACATCTCCACTGCCTCCAGCCTTCTCCTCGCTGCAACATTCATCACCCATGCTTCACACCCATATAAGAGCATTGGTAAAACTATACTCTCATACATTCCCCTCTTTGCCTCCAAGGACAAAGTTCTTTGTCTCCACAGACTCCTAAGTGCACCACTCACCCTTTTCCCCTCATCAATTCTATGATTCACCTCATCTTTCATAGACCCATCCGCTGACATGTCCACTCCCAAATATCTGAATACATTCACCTCCTCCATAACTCTCTCCCCCCAATCTGATATCCAATCTTTCATCACCTAATCTTTTTGTTATCCTCATAACCTTACTCTTTCCTGTATTCACTTTCAATTTCTTCTTTTGCACACCCTACCAAATTCATCCACCAATCTCTGCAACTTCTCTTCAGAATCTCCCAAGAGCACAGTGTCATCAGCAAAGAGCAACTGTGACAACTCCCACTTTATGTGTGATTCTTTATCTTTTAACTCCACACCTCTTGCCAAGACCCTCGCATTTACTTCTCTTACAACCCCATCTATAAATATATTAAACAACCACGGTGACATCACACATCCTTGTCTAAAGGCCTACTTTTACTGGGAAATAATTTTCCCTCTTTCCTACATACTCTAACTTGAGCCTCACTATCCTCGTAAAAACTCTTCACTGCTTTCAGTAACCTACCTCCTACACCATACACCTGCAACATCTGCCACATTGCCCCCCTATCCACCCTGTCATACGCCTTTTCCAAATCCATAAATGCCACAAAGACCTCTTTAGCCTTATCTAAATACTGTTCACTTACATGTTTCACTGTAAACACCTGGTCCACACACCCCCTACCTTTCCTAAAGCCTCCTTGTTCATCTGCTATCCTATTCTCCGTCTTACTCTTAATTCTTTCAATAATAACTCTACCATACACTTTGCCAGGTATACTCTACAGACTTATCCCCCTATAATTTTTGCACTCTTTTATCCCCTTTGCCTTTATACAAAGGAACTATGCATGCTCTCTGCCAATCCCTAGGTACCTTACCCTCTTCCATACATTTATTAAATAATTGCACCAACCACTCCAAAACTATATCCCCACCTGCTTTTAACATTTCTATCTTTATCCTATCAATCCCGGCTGCCTTACCCCCTTTCATTTTACCTACTGCCTCACGAACTTCCCCCACACTCACAACTGGCTTTTCTCACTCCTACAAGATGTTATTCCTCCTTGCCCTATACACGAAATCACAGCTTCCCTATCTTCAACATTTAACAATTCCTCAAAATATTCCCTCCATCTTCCCAATACCTCTAACTCTCCATTTAATAACTCTCCTCTCCTATTTTTAACTGACAAATCCATTTGTTCTCTAGGCTTTCTTAACTTGTTAATCTCACTCCAAAACTTTTTCTTATTTTCAACAAAATTTGTTGATAACATCTCACCCACTCTCTCATTTGCTCTCTTTTTACATTGCTTCACCACTCTCTTAACCTCTCTCTTTTTCTCCATATACTCTTCCCTCCTTGCATCACTTCTACTTTGTAAAAACTTCTCATATGCTAACTTTTTCTCCCTTACTACTCTCTTCATATCATCATTCCACCAGTCGCTCCTCTTCCCTCCCGCACCCACTTTCCTGTAACCACAAACTTCTGCTGAACACTCTAACACTACATTTTTAAACCTACCCCATACCTCTTCGACCCCATTGCCTATGCTCTCATTAGCCCATCTATCCTCCAGTAGCTGTTTATATCTTACCCTAACTGCCTCCTCTTTTAGTTTATAAACCTTCACCTCTCTCTTCCCTGATGCTTCTATTCTCCTTGTATCCCATCTACCTTTTACTCTCAGTGTAGCTACAACTAGAAAGTGATCTGATATATCTGTGGCCCCTCTATAAACATGTACATCCTGAAGTCTACTCAACAGTCTTTTATCTACCAATACATAATCCAACAAACTACTGTCATTTTGCCCTACATCATATCTTGTATACTTATTTATCCTCTTTTTCTTAAAATATGTGTTACCTATAACTAAACCCCTTTCTATACAAAGTTCAATCAAAGGGCTCCCATTATCATTTACACCTGGCACCCCAAACTTACCTACCACACCCTACCACAGCTGATGATGGAGTACAAAGAACCAGAGATTTTTTTTTTTTTCAACATTCAGACTTCCCACTTTGACAATTTTCTTCTTCTTATTCTTTTTAGTAATCTTTACAGGGAAAAGGGGTTACTAGCCCATTGTTCCCGGCATTTTAGTTGGCTCTTACAGCACGCATGGCTTACGGAGGAAAGATTCTTATTCACTTCCCCATGGATATAAAAGGAAAAGTAATAAGACCAAGAACTTTCTTTCTTTCAACACACTGGCTGTATCCCACCGAGGCGGGGTGGCCCAAAAGGAAAAACGAAAGTTTCTCCTTTTACATTTAGTAATATATACAGGAGAAGGGGTTACTAGCCCCTTGCCCCCGGCATTTTAGTCTCCTCTTATAACACGCATGGCTTACGGAGGAAGAATTCTGTTCCACTTCCCCATGGAGGTAAGAAGAAATAAACAAGAACAAGAACTAGAAAGAAAATAGAAGAAAACCCAAAGGGGTGTGTATATATATGCTTGTACATGTATGTGTAGTGTGACCTAAGTGTAAGTAGAAGTAGCAAGACATGCCTGTAATCTTGCATATTTATGAGACAGAACCAGAGATATGACTGTTATTTATAGTACATATTTATCATTCAGGGAAACATTAGCACACAACATGGAAACATGCTGGCAGTAACAGAAACTATGCGCCATGTTGATGAGCTTGTGTGGGCCATACGGTTCCAAGATATTCAGACTATTGGTGAGGTTGACCACATTCAGATGTGTCCTACAAAAGCTAAGGTATGTGAATATTTAAATTTAAACATGTGTTTATTTGGAATTTTTCAGATGTATTTTATTTTTTCAGTTTCTCCTTTAGTTTCATATTTTTACATTTGTTGGTAATTGCATTTTTCAGAACACAGTTTCATTATGTTGTAGCTATCTTCACTAACTAGACATGCACAACTTCTGCCATTTATACATGTTCAAATATTAAATTTCTTTTATTGAATCAGATACTTCATGATTAATATCTTCGAATTATAGTACTATAATCTTTTATTTAGGCTGATTCATTCGCAGTTAGAAACATGTTTTTAAACAGCTGAAACTATTGTTGGTCAGTGTAATTATTCAATACACTATAACCTGTAAGTTTGAAACCATAGTGTAAAATAATTACAGTAATTCATATTTTTCTGTTTGTGCAAGTGTTCATATCAGAGGATAGGAAACTGAAGTCAGAGGAAAGCTGTTGAGGAACTTTTAATAGACTACATCCAGGTAAAAGAACACAACTGCAACTAGTGTGACATTTTACTGTGGCAACATTTCCCTCTCCAGGAGCTTTGTTATACTTGACAAAGCCTTCTCAAACCCACTAACAGTATATGCCCAACCCATTTTAATGCTACCCAAGGAATAAGCTTTGATGACCCTGTTAAACATCTTAATAAATGTCTTACAATCCACAAACCTATGTCTTTGTACACCTGTCTGTCAGTTGTGACTTTTGACCATTGGATATGCAGTTACCATCTGACTTACGACCAGACCAAGCTTGGTTCCGACCAACTGGTCGTAAGTCAAAATGGACGCAAGTCGAACTTTACTACTGAATATCAACATCACACTTTTGTAATGATTTTATTTTATTGTTTTATTTTGATATTTCATTTTTTACTTTACTTTTTATGCTGTTACTGTATTTTATACTGTAAGGTTTAGGATAAACACTGTGTACAACACAAGCAGTTGTTTATTTCCCAGAAATCTGGCATAAAAAACATGGTCGCAAGTCGAATGGTCGTATGTCGAGCAGGTCGTAAGTCGGATGGTAGGTGTACCTTTGAAGAGTTTTGAGAGTAACTACTCTCAGAGCTCAGCCATGGGCCAGGCTTGTCCGGTGTTTGCCTGATCAACCAGGCTGTTGCTGCTGTAGACCTGCTGCCTCACATATCCATCACAGCCTGGTTGATCTGGCACCTGGTGAAGATACTTGTCCAGTTTAGTCTTGAAGGCTTCTACACTTGTTCCAGCCATGTTTCTGATATCTTCTGGAAAGATGTCGAATAGTCTGGGACCCTGGATATTGATAGTGTTTCCCCACTGCACCCCTGCTCCTCACTGGATTTATTTTACACTTCCTCCCATATCTCTCACTCCAGTATGTTATGGCAGTGTGCAGATTTGGGACCAGGCCCTCTAGTACTTTCCAGGTGTATATCATCATGTTCTCTACTGCCCACTGGAAAACCCTCCTTATGTCTTCCTGTAATTTTTCAGTGTCCTCTACCGTAGTGACTTTATGCTTATTTTAGTGTCATCTGCAAATGATACAGAAGTGTGATGGGTGTTTTGATCTGTGTCTGCTATAAGGATGAGAAACAGCAGAGGTGCCAGGACAGTGCCTGGGGCACTGAGCTTTTGACCTTGCTGATGCTGGATTTTGCTCAATTTACTACTACTTGTGTTTTGTGTGTTAGGAACCCAAAAATTCATCTGCCTACCTTCTCTGTAATGCCCATGGCCCTCATTTTGTGCGCTGTCACTCCATGATCGTATTTGTCAAACGCTTTTGCAAAATCTGTAAATCACATCTGTGTTTTGGTTTTCCAATGCCTCTGTAATTCTGTCATAATGGTTCAGCAGCTGTGACAGGCATGATTGTCTTGCTCTAAAACCATGCTAGTTTGGGTTATGCTGGTCCCTGAAATTTGTAATCTGCCATTTCATCACAATTCGAAGATTTTTATAATGCGAGAAGTTAGGGCTGTTGGTATGTAATTATTAGCTAGTGCTCTACTACCTCTCTTATGCAAAGGAGCTAAGTCTGCACTCTTTAAGGCCTCCGGTATTTCACTTAGATCTAAGGTCTTTCTCCAAAGAATACTGTGGGCTTGTGCTAATGGTACATACTTTGCACTTCATTATAAATAGAGCTAAACAGAAGGACAACTGGAGAGCGAAACGTCACAGTAAAATGTCACATTAGTTGCACATGTTTCCTTTAGCTTAAGTCCTTAATTCTACCTTTATTACAAATTGCATTCCAATCACTCACCAATAACAGACAACTGACAATTGTGTTATTGACCAGAAGTCTGAATGCAGTCTGTCAAGTTCCTCAGCAACTTCTCCTCTGACTTCAGTTTCCTATGAGCAGAATTATCTATCAAATAGAAAAACATGAATTACCTCCATATGTATTTTACCCCATGTTTCCAGACTTTGAAAAATGTGTGCTATACTTGTGTATTCTTGCTACCTGGAGTTTACCTGGGAATGGTGTCGGGGGTCAGTGATCTCACTGCCCAATCCCAAACTAGGATTTCCTGTGGATGGCTCAGTCATCTAGGTTGTTAGTGCTAGCCACATGCAGTGCATTGTGTGCATCACAGCTTGGCTGATCTGGATCTGACAGAACTTTATCAAAATCCCTTTTGAAGACAGCCAGGGGTCTGTTAGTAATTACCTTTATGTATGAAGGGAAGGTGTTGAAATGCCTTGGGCAAAGCAGATGTTTCAACACTTCTTTCATACATAAGGGGAATTAACAACAGATCCTGAAGTCAGTTCCTGCTTGGCCAAGCTGTTTTACACGTTGGACTTTGTGCAGCAATCTCCAACAGCCTAACTGATCAAACCATCCATCAGGAAGCATAGTTTAGGAGTGGATTACAGTGTTATTGCCCTTCCCCTCTCTGGTAACCTTCTATAGGTGATGAGATGTAGATTACCAGCCCTTCATTTTTAAATCTTAATTACATTTCAGATGTATACCGGTTTTACAAGTAATGATGCACCTGATGTTAATCTGTGGACTCTGCAACGTCTGGAGACAATAGTGAAACGTCATCTTCCTCGAACTAAGGTTCGCATTATGAAATTAGACACCACAGCTGCATCTCGTTTAGCAATGTCAACGCTCTGATTTTTCAACATGATGCATAATATTAATACCATGTGTATTTCAATTTAACGTTCATAAAATATTTTAAGATGCATCCAAGAGTATATTCAACATTAGTTTCAAATCAATATTTGCATTAGAAATTCTTGGTAAATTAATAAAAAATAAACAGTATATGGACAACTGATTTCTTCCTATTATAACTTTTGAGTGAGGCTCATGCTCACTGTTCATTAAGGATGCCAAGTTCTAGTGGAGAGAACACTTACTTTTCTAGGAAGTGCTCATCATGGGCTGATTTATGCTGAAGCAGTTTTCTTGTTGTGGTTTATACAGCAATGATCATGTGTGCCACAAGCCTCTCTGCCATTACTAATGTACATATATGATTTTATTCTTACCATAAGTCTCTGTCATTGCTGGAAGGACTCTCCTTATTATACCATACGTATTTCCTAGTCATGACACTTTTTGTAGTATCGTAGCCATCTCAGTATTAGTTGGAAGAGCCTTTCTAGTCGAACCATAAGTGTAACAGTACTGGCTGGAGGGTTTTGTATTCGTAATGCAAGTCTCCACATAGTGCCTGATTGACATCTGAACACATCATTGGCGTTTACTGAATTACTCTTTGTTTAAACCATTGTAGAGATGGTATCTGTCACACAGAACTTATCATTAGGTCATGTTCAGTATAAGTATGAACTTGGGTACATTGCTCACTGGATGGCAGTAGTCTTGAGATTAGAGGGCCGGATTGATGAACTTCATAGATGTGATTCAGTGTTTGCAAGTTGAATGTTTGAATGTTCACTGGCTGAAAGCTGAGAGACTGAGGGCTCAGTGGTTGAGATGTTGGTGTCTGAGGGCTAATTTGTAGAGAGGTGGAAGTGTTAGGACTCATTCGTAAGGATAGAGATGGTTCGAAGATAATGGTGCCTCTGGTGCTCCTCCGGTGGGGGCCGCCAGGCTTATCCAGTTGCTGGAGGCGGTATTGCTGCCATTTCTTCTGCACCAGCTCCTGCACCTCACCATTCAGAAAACAGTACAAAACTGAGACAAAAACTCCCTGAGGAAAAGAAGTGAGGAGTTACTAAGATGAAGCAAAATTCCGAAAGGAATACAGTACATATACCATTGTATTTCATGACGCAGTAACCCGTGTGGGTCAGTCAGCACAAGTACAGGTTTAAGGCTTCGTCCTCTGTCTACTAAGCATGGCCTAGTCTCTGATATAACAAAAGGGCAGAGCCTAGCTATAGCTAAGTAACAGGCTTAGGCTACATCAAGCAACAAAAACCTTGTTACTTCACGAGACCTTAATGGCACAGCAGACCAGGACCCAAGCATACTGGAAGACCAAGGACTGGATTTGAGTTCCCTTCCTTAGATTGTGCCTGATTACTTTCCAGTCCCCATGTGCTATGTGACCACTATGGGTTTAGCATCTCCACTCAATTAAAATAAATGTAATATCATGACTAAACTATAAGTCTTCACCAACCTGAGAAGACTGGAAGAGGGCATTTGTGAGCATGTAGGCACCTTCCAGGTCACCCTTGCCACCAGGGTTGACAGCGAAGAGCAGGTTGGTAATACCGAGCAGCGGGAACAACACAGCTGTTGCCTTTATTGCCTTCCTACAGCAATGTGCAAGATCAAATTGTTGTAGCCAAACAAGAGAATATTTTTATTATTAATCAATAGTTCCAAAATCTTATTTTTATCGACAAATATAATTTTGTTTAGGAAGCTTCATTATTGCTTATCAAAATATTTTTTATTCTCATTCAGCCCTTTGAGAGATGTTTGATAAAGGGCTCTTGATTCAAGGAATTGGAACTACCCTTGGCTCAAACCTGGTTACCCCCCACTATTCATGCACAATTTGACCCCTACAGGTTTAGCATTTCCTAATTATATTCTCATGCTTGAGAGGTGAGGGGAATGATAAAAATTTTAATGGTGTATAAAATCTTTCTTTCAACACACCAGCCGTATCCCACCAAGGCGGGGTGGCCAAAAAGGAAAAACAAAAGTTTCTCCTTTTACATTTAGGAATATATACAGGAAAAGAGGTTACTAGCCCCTTGCTCCCGGCATTTTAGTTGCCTCTTACGACATGCATGGCTTACGGAGGAAGAATTCTGTTCCACTTCCCCATGGAGTGGAGAGGAAATAGACAAGAACAAGAACTAGAAAGAAAATAGAAGAAAACCCAGAGGGGTATGTATATACTATATGTTTGTACACGTATGTGCGGTGTGACCTAAGTGTAAGTATGTAGAAGTAGCAAGACATACCTGAAATCTTGCATTTTTATGAAACAGAGAAAAGGACACCAGCAATCCTACCATCATGTTAAACAATTACAGGCTTTCATTTTACACTCACTTGGCAGGATGATAGTACCTCCCTGGGCGGTTGCAAGCACCAAACAAGCCTGGTCCAAGGCCAGGCCGCAGGAGCAGGAAAATTCTCACGACCCATTAAAGGTATAACTCTGATGGTATACAGAGGCAGTGGTGATGAAGTGGCACTTTTGTTGGTGATGATGGCAACTGTCTAATAAAGGTGAAAGTTGTGGTGAAGACAATAATGATGATGATAATAGTGAATGGGGTCCAAATTACAAAAATTTTAACCTTGGATAAGTCACATAATACTGTTAGTTTGCAATGGGGTACCCCTTCCTCTAGGTACATAATTACCAGTTAAGGAATCAAATCCAGGTCATTTTGGTAGCAACTGAATCCACCTCCACTGATGTCTCCAATTTCTTGGAATGAACTTGAATGCCTCCCATTCCTCCAAGCTCTATACGACCCTTAGGGATTTAGTTCCCTTCATCCCCATGAATATAATTTACCCCTGAAATACAAGGAAAATGAGAAGAGGTAATGACGTACCTGACCTGGGTGTCACTGGCCTGGAGTTTGGTGACAAGGATCCTGACGATGTTGACCAAGAATACCAGATTGATCTGTTTGTATGAGATATACCAATACTGTAATAATAATGATATAATTTAAGCACTAAACCTACAGTAATAATAATACAAGCTTTATGCAAAAGTGAGAAATTCTAACATGACAACAAAAAGTTTGATGCTAAATAATATATAAATTTATTTTAAGTTGTGTTTGTGTGCATTATACTGTGTGTACGTATATTTTATAATACAGACACATTTTTCCTCAACAGCCGTCTCCTGCCAAGATAGTGCGACCCAAATAAATATTCATATATACGTATATATTTTTTAAAATGCTGAGGCATGGTGATCATCATCATTCACACTATCACTGTCTTGCCAGAGGCATGCGGATATAACAGTGTAGATATCACTCTAAACAGTAAATATCCTGAACCCTTCCTTCAGAGTGCAGGGACTGTACTTCCCACCACCACCCATCCTTCAGAGTGCAGGCACTGTACTTCCCACCACCACCCATCCTTCAGAGTGCAGGGACTGTACTTCCCACCACCACCCATCCTTCAGAGTGCAGGCACTGTACTTCCCACCACCACCCATCCTTCAGAGTGCAGGCACTGTACTTCCCACCACCACCCATCCTTCAGAGTGCAGGCACTGTACTTCCCACCACCACCCATCCTTCAGAGTGCAGGCACTGTACTTCCCACCACCACCCATCCTTCAGAGTGCAGGCACTGTACTTCCCACCACTATATAATATGCAATACTATTTTACATAAAAGTTATGGTACTTGTACATGATTGTGTCATTAATATGACTGGAGGACTGTTAGTAACTGCTGTATTAACCTAATATATGTACCTTTAAAAGAGGGGTTTGGGATATTGGCAGTTTGGAGGGATATGTTGTGTATCTTTATACGTATATGCTTCTAAACTGTTGTATTCTGAGCACCTCTGCAAAAACAGTGATTATGTGTGAGTGAAGTGAAAGTGTTGAAAGATGATGAAAGTATTTTCTTTTTGGGAATTTTCTTTCTTTTTGGGTCACCCTGCCTCGGTGGGAGACAGCCGACTTGTAAAAAAAAAAAATGTACCTATAATACCCAGGCAACTCGACTTAAACTCTTCTCTTCTTTGGATCAAACCCAACTGATTCCCATCCTCCTGGTAACCCATGTGGGTTTAGCACTTATAAAACAGATCCTAAAAGGTACTTAATCAAAAAAAGCATTTATAAAAGAACTCTTAATTTCTCACACTGGGGTATTAAATTGTTTTATACAGTGAATAACCTGTGGCTTTCACTTCTTGACATGTTTACTCACGTCACTACAAGAAGTCACCCACCACGAGTACAGTGACTAGGAGTCACCCACCATGAGTACCATGTAGGAATCACCTACCATGAGTACAATGACTGTACTAATCACCTACCATGAGTACAGTGATCATGGGAGCTACGAGGATCCAGACATACTTCAGGGCACTGTATCCCTGCCAGCATGGTGCATGGTGGTGCAAGATCATGGTAGTGGTCCAGGCAACAAGCAACACCATAGGCCAACCTGAAACAACGTAATATTAGCGGGAGGAAAAACAATATCGAAGGGCAAGGCTCCTGATCGAAGGAACTGGAGCTACCCTCCCCTTCCTTGGGTCAAACTTCACTACCTTCCTTTTCCTAGGAACTCTATGATCCATATTAGTTAAGCATTTCCCATGAATAGAAGAATATGCCCCTACACTGTGTGTATATATGTATGTATGGGTATGGTGCTAACTACTACCCTCAGACTGGGTATGGGGTGACTACCATCCCACAACAGGGTGGATATGGGAGGACTGAAACCCACGTAGGAGGGGCATGGGGTGACAACCACCCTACAAGATGGGTATGGGGTGACTACCACCAGAAGTTCTGTATAGGAGGGGCCAAGTGAGGGTGAAACCAAGTTGTAAGAGGGAACTTGAAACAACATTATGAGTGTGGGGGAAGGGGACGCCGCCCCTGGTACATGGTACAAAAAATTGTCTTGCTAAAAAAAATTTTTGGTATCAGCTACGAAAGTTTATACCACAAAACGGCCTCACCCCAGCCTATGCAGTAGTATATGAAGAAGGGCGCCCCTGAGTCGAAGACATTGGAGGTGAGTCTGGAGTGGAGAAATAAACCTTCAACGAACATCCAGTTGACGGAAGAGATCTGAGCATACAGCCTCAGTGCCAGCAGTAACTTACACAGCCAATCCTGAAACAAGTGTACAACAGTGCCAACAATGACTGATGTATTAGTCTTACACAACCAATCCTGACCTATTAGGATTATTAATAATGTAAATAGAAAAAAATGTAGAATAAAAATAATTACATGAAGAGTTTGTTAATAGGTGATTTTTTGCGACAACGATAATTTATTATATAGAGGTTTGCATTGTCAAGTGGATTATACAATGGAGATACAGAAAAAAACATACCACAGGCTGGGATACAACCCTATATATTTTTTTCATTTTCCCCCAAAACCTTGGCCATCATGAAGAGCAAACTGTCCTGGTCTTCCCTTTCATCTGTACTAGGTAGCTAATTCTTCCTCTTCAACAATACATTAAAGAGAGTGTAATCTTCTCTTTACTGTGGTTTATTCTTAAGAAAAGATAATGGAAATCACTAACGCAAGTCAACAAAAGTCAAAAAGTAGTGATTAGATTAGCAAAACTCGATTGGTACAAACGGATTTCCCTAACACCCAGCCATATATACAGACATAAAACAAGTAGACATATATGCAAGCAGATACAGTGAACCAGGATACACAGAGACAAAGACAGACTTACCACGTCCCTGTAGGTGTTGGTGTGACGGTGAGAGATGAAAGGTTCAGTGAGGATGAGCATCACCAAGAAACGGATGACCAGAGACACTACGAGGTTCCTGTGTACTCTCAGACGGTCACACTCCAACGTCCTGCCAACCATGATGTGAGGCATTGTGACAATTATTATGTGACGTATTATGAGAGTTATTATACGAGGCATTACATGAGGTGCAACATGTGGGTCCTATATGAATTGTGGAGCATCATGCGAGGTATTATAACTCCGGTAAATGGTAATTCCAAGGCTTTCGTGATCCCTCAACAAAATTCTTAAGGAAGAGTGAAAGGAATGAAAACAGAGGTGTCGTATATAGCATTTTTTTTTTTTTAACAAGTCGGCCGTCTCCCACCGAAGCAGGGTGACCCAAAAAAGAAAGAAAATACCCAAAAAGAAAATACTTTCATCATCATTCAACACTTTCACCTCACTCACACATTATCACTGTTTTTGCAGAGGTGCTCAGAACACAACAGCTTAGAAGCATATATGTATAAATATACACAACATATCCCTCCAAATTACCAATATCCTGAACTCCTCCTTTAGAGCACAGGCATTGTACTTCCCATTTCCAGGACTCAAGTCCGGCTATATAAAAATAACCAGTTTCCCTGAATCCCTTCATTAAATATTACCCTGCTCACACTCCAACAGCTCGTCAGGTCTCAAATACCATTCGTCTCCATTTACTCCTATCGAACACGCTCATGCACGCTTGCTGGAAGTCCAAGCCCCTCGCCCACAAAACCTTTACCTCCTCCCTCCAATCTTTTCGAGGATGACCCCTACCCCGCCTTCCTTCCCCTACAGATTTATACTTTCTCCATGTCATTCTACTTTGATCCATTCTCTCTAAATGACCAAACCACCTCAACAACCCCTCTTCTGCCCTCTGACTAATACTTTTATTAACTCCACACCTTCTCCTAATTTCTACACTCCGAATTTTCTGCATAATATTTACACCACACATTGCCCTTAGACAGGACATCTCCACTGCCTCCAACCGTCTCCTCGCTGCTGCATTTACCACCCAAGCTTCACACCCATATAAGAGTGTTGGTACTACTATACTTTCATACATTCCCTTCTTTGCCTCCATAGATAACGTTTTTTGTCTCCAAATATACCTCAATGCACCACTCACCTTTTTTCCCTCATCAATTCTATGATTAACCTCATCCTTCATAAATCCATCCGCCGACACGTCAACTCCCAAGTATCTGAAAACATTCACTTCTTCCATATTCCTCCTCCCCAATTTGATATCCAATTTTTCTTTATCTAAATAATTTGATACCCTCATCACCTTACTCTTTTCTATGTTCACTTTCAACTTTCTACCTTTACACACAGATCTAAATGGATTGTGAAAACGTGCAATTGCATTAGGTTTTATAACCTGCATGAACTGTATCACTGTAGGCAACAAGAGCATTTCACCCCTCCATGGAAGATGTGTTCATTTAATATCACATACCTACAAGTCCCTCCCAAGAAGCTCATTGCTAGTAATCCCTTCCTTAAATCTCTTGTTAGAGCAACTGCTCAAGAAGAAATTTCTCACCTAGCTGGTAGTAATAAGTTATCACAAGCTATATACACTGATGGATCTAAACAGGAGTCTTCTGGCAGGGCTGCATCTGCTCTTGTTGCCACCTCCCTAGTTAAGAAACATAATAAATTTGTTGAGTTAGGCATAAGAATTAACAACTGGGCATCTACACTGCAAACTGAATTGTTTGCAATCCTAATGGCGCTAAAGCTAACCTATGACACTGAGCTTGACTATCATCATTACTGATTCTATGTTATCATTGAAGGCTCTTGACTCATATAATGACTCCAACAACATGCTCATTGGAGAAGCCAGGTATAGATACTCAAAAATTAGGGACGAAGGAATTAATGTACAATTGCTATGGATCCCATCTATGGAAAATTTTATAGGGATGATTACTTGTATGTACCTCAACATTATATACATACAAGTAATCTCATTGGGAGACAACCCTATATTGTTTACCGTAGTCACCCCGTGTAGATATGTGAGAAAACTTCACCACCCCTGGTCACTGGAGGTGGGCCTTCGGCCTCACAATCTTATCCATATCTATCCGAGACCAATATAGATTGGATAGCACCCACAAGTACGGCGCTACTAATTAATTGTGGACTGTATAGATTATATTAGTGTAACTGAATGAGGGGGGGGGGTAGGTTACACATGGATATATCCATCAAGGAAAAACACTTGTATATAATCCCACCACTTACCAGATATACTCTGGTGGTCACTTGATGTAGCTGGATCACCCATAACCTATCCAATTACAACATACCTAACTGGCCAGTATCAGTCTGCTATAACTAGAAGGGTTACTTAACTGTGGGTGATTGATACTCCTTATTTCCTCCATTCACCATCTCATTTCGATGTCCTGCTACACCGGCACGGTTCTTATTCCAGCAGGACGAGGTATCCGTTGGTTTGTCCTGGTTTAGAAGTCGTGACTCAATAAACTTCACTTTCCTCGGGACGGGAACAACGTGGTCTAGCGTGTTCACTCGGAACAAGGCGACTTATTTCACTTCACGCATTCTCTTAACTTAGCGTTAGTATCATTAATTAAATTACAATTCACAAGATGATATAATGTCTCATAATTATTATACACATTAGAGATCACTCCATTAAGATCTGAGACCGATGAGTGATGATTAAACCAAGGGTAATTTTCCCCGGGACCCAGTCCATGGCGACGCGCCAGTCACCACCGGTCCTACCCTTATTCACTCATTTTACCACTATTACGGTGGTCCCGTAAATCACGTTCCCTCGCTCTCCACCAGGAACAGTTACGACACTTCCTATTATGAAATGAGGCCTATATTAATCCTTAGGCTGCCGTGAACGCCAATTTCCTGGTCCCATGTTTCACAGCCTCTTAAACCCATTCAAAACACTGCCGCCACCTCGTGCCCCAGCTCGACCTATACCCCCACACTGCCGCCACCTCGTGCACCAGCTCGACCTATACCCCCGCACATCTGCGCAGGCGCAGCGGGAACCCAGTTGGTTCCATTCAAAATACAAATACATTTTGACCCAAATCAACACATTAAGCACTTATTAGGCACTATAGCTTCGGAAATTAAATAATTTCCACACTGCGGCCGGGCGGAAATCGTTGTTAGACGACTTAAATTGCGTCTTCCTCCAGGAGACGATTCCAGCTCTCTCTACATTGCGCTGCTGTTTTCCTAGTGGGTCTTACTACAATTTCTTCTTGCATTACTCGGTCAGTGTCTTCAATATCACTCGTGTCACTTCCCCTTAGATTTCCATCTGCACTGGATTGAACACCATTTAATTCTAAGGGAATTAATTTATTAATGGTACGCAAACTTTCCTGACCACGACACAACACTTTGACGTTTCTGACAACACCTTGTGCATCTGGGTATAATGTAACTACCTTGCCCAGAGGCCACAATGTTCGATGTTGTTCAGTATCAATTAACACAATGTCACCTGGTTGAATGTTCTGTCGGTTTACTGCCTCTGGCGCACCATAAAAGTGTTCACGTAGTGTAAGAAGATATTCTTTACGCCACACATCGGACCAATGAGTAATTACCTTATTTAACATCTTGAACTTATCACTGAACACGGTCACATTATTGTAATCCTCATCACTTCCCTCAGGATTATCTATAGATAGGTGCAGCTGCTAACCTTCGTCCGCATATTAGGTGAGAGGGAGTCAGGATCTCCGCGTCAGGAGTGTCACTCATGTATGACAGAGGGCGATTGTTTACCCGATTCTCTGCCTCCACCAACACTGCACAGAATTCCTCCAAATTAATTCTCTTCCTGTGTAGCACCTTACGAAGACATCTTTTCACTGTACCTATCCACTGTACCTATGTATTCCTGTTAACCCTTTGGGGCCTAGTTCCTAGGCCTTTTGTGTATCCATATGCTCTCGCGCTACCGTCCACAGGATGGATATGGGGTGCACAATAAACTAGCCACTTCGGTGGCAAAATCTAATCTAATCCCAAACTCATCCACTAACCTTTGCAATTTTTCTTTAGAATCTCCCATGAGCACAGTATCATCAGCAAAAAGCAACTGTGTCAATTCCCATTTTGTATTTGATTCCCCATAATTTAATCCCACCCCTCTCTCGAACACCCTAGCATTTACTTCCTTTACAACCCCATCTATAAATATATTAAACAACCATGGTGCCCTTACACATCCCTGTCTAAGACCTACTTTTACCGGGAAGTATTCTCCCTCTCTTCTACACACCCTAACCTGAGCCTCACTATCCTCATAAAAACTCTACAGCATTTATTAACTTACCACCTATTCTATATACTTGCAACATCTGCCACATTGCTCCCCTATCCACTATCATATGCCTTTTTTAAATCCAAAAATGCAATAAAACAATATATATATATATATATATATATATATATATATATATATATATATATATATATATATATATATATATATATATATATATATATATATATATATATATATATAATGTCGTGCCGAATAGGCAGAACTTGCGATCTTGGCTTAAATAGCAACGTTCATCTTGCCATATAGGACAAGTGAAAATTTGTGTATGCAATAATTTCGCCAAAATCATTCTGAACCTAACGAAAAAATATATTTCACTGTGTTTGTTTAGTATTAAATTATTGTAAACAAATCTAAAATATATTTAGTTGGGTTAGGCTAAAATAAATTGCGCTTGTTATAAAAAGGTTAGGTAAGTTTTCTAAGTTCCTTTTGGTGCAAAATTATAAATTTTTACATCAACATTAATGAAAAAAATATATCTTTAAACGTATAAGAGAAAATTTTAGAGAGGACTTAATTTTAAATGAGTTCTTGCTAATTGGCCAGTTTTACATATTCGGCACGACATACATATATATATATATATATATATATATATATATATATATATATATATATATATATATATATATATATATATATATATATATATATATATATATATATATATTAGACAGCAACCACCCAGGGAGGTACTACCGTCCTGCCAAGTGAGTGTAAAACTGAAACCTGTAATTGTTTTACATGATGGTAGGATTGCTGGTGTCTTTTGTCTGTCTCATACACATGCAAGATTTCAGGTACGTCTTGCTACTTCTACTTACACTTAGGTCACACTACACATACATGTACAAGCATATATATACACACCCCTTTGGGTTTTCTTCTTTTTCTTACTAGTTCTTGTTCTTGTTTATTTCCTCTTATCTCCATGGGGAAGTGGAACAGAATTCTTCCTCCGTAAGTCATGCGTGTTGTAAGAGGCGACTAAAATGCCGGGAGCAAGGGGCTAGTAACCCCTTCTCCCGTATAAATTACTAAATTTATAAAGAGAAACTTTCGTTTTTCATTTTGGGCCACCCTGCCTCGGTGGGATACGGCCGGTTTGTTACTAAGTTTATTCAGGTATACACAAATACAGTTACATAGAATTATCATACATAGCAGCATAGTAGAGAACCTGGAATAACCCAAATAAGTCAGACAGAGTGACTTATTTCCATTGGGGTCGTTTTACCTTATTATTATAATATAAAGGTTATAATATTTTCTTATTATTCTATAATGAAGATAACATCTTATTATCATACTAAAAAGACTATCTACTACACGAGGGTCATTAAGACTATCTACTACACGAGGGTCATTAAGACTATCTACAATACAAGGATCATTACTAGGAATAAGGTAAAATTTACACGTATGTTAGCTAAAAAATAGAAAATCATTCCCCTCCCTTTCTGTAGCTACATTCATCAGACACCTTTTGGCACTCTTCTTGAACTGGTTCATGCTATGACTGGCTTTGACATGTGCGGGCAGTCTGTTCCATTCCTTTATTGCTGTACAATAAAAGGTGTTTGAAGCCTGGCCACTAACTGTGGGTACTACAAAGTTGTGCTCTCTCCCCCTAGTACTATGATTGCTTTGGTTCCCAACCTTGACAAAATTGACAGCAAGATATTCTGGACATTGTTTGTGAGCAATTTTATAAACATGATTTAGCTTCAGTTGTTTTACTCTGTCTGTTGAAAGAATATATATATATATATATATATGTGGAAAATTTTTAATTTTCCGAAACTATAGCGCCTAATAGGTGTTTTATGTGCCGATATGAGTCAAAATGTATTTGAAAATGGAGTAGAACCAAGAGTTCCCTTGGCGCATGCGCGGATGTGCGGGGGAGGTAGGCGCGGATTGTTTTGAATGTGGTGAAGAAGCTGAGAAAGCATGGAACCACGAAATTGACATTCACGGCGGCCTAAAGATTAATATAGGCCTCATTTCATAATAAGAAGTGTCGTAACTGTTCCTGGTGGAGAGTGAGGGAACGTGATTTACGGGACCACGGTAATAGAGTGGTAAAAAGTGTGATAAGAGTAGGACCGGGTGTCAGGTGCACGGCCAGGGTGTGTCCAGGGGACATACCCGTGTGTTAATCCTCGCTCATCGGCCTCAGATCCTAATGGAGTGACCTCTAATTTGTGTAATAGTTATGAGACGTTAAATCGTCTTGTGAATGGTAATGTAATCAGTGATAATAACATTGAGTTAAGAGAATGCGGGATGTGAAATAGAGCGCCTTGCTCCGAGTGAACGTGTGACTCTCGTACCGGGGATAATGGAGATTTATGGAATCACGACTTCTAACCGGGACAAACCGACGGATACCTCGTCCTGCCGGAATGAGAACCGTGTCGGTGTAGCAGGACATCGAAACTGAGATGGTGAATGGAAGAAATAAGGAGTATCAATCACCCACAGTTAAGTAACCCTTCTAGTTATAGCAAACTTATGCTGGCCAGTAGTGTTATGTTATAATTAGATAGGTTATGAGTGATCCAGCTACATCAAGTGACCACCAGAGAACATCTGGTAAGTGGTGGGATTATGTACAAATGTTTTCCTTGAGGGAAATGTATCCAGGTGTATCCTACCCCCCTCCCCTTCATTCAGCGAAACTAATATAATCTATACAGTCCACAATTAACTAGTAGCACCGTACTTGTGTGTGCTACCCAATCCATACTGGTCTCGGATAGATATGGATAAGATTGTGAGGTCGAAGGGGCCACCTGTAGTGACCAGAGGTGGTTAAGTTTTCTCACATGTCTACCCGGGGTGACTACGGTAAACAATATGGTCGTCTCCCAATGAGATTACTTGTATGTATATAATGTTGAGGTACATACAGATAAACACCCTAGAAAATTTTCCATAAATATATATAATATATATATATATATATATATATATATATATATATATATATATATATATATATATATAATATATTATATATATATATATATATATATGTCGTGCCGAATAGGCAGAACTTGCGATCTTGGCTTAAATAGCAACGTTCATCTTGCCATATAGGACAAGTGAAAATTTGTGTATGCAATAATTTCGCCAAAATCATTCTGAACCTAACGAAAAAAATATATTTCAATGTATTTGTTTAGTATTAAATTACTGTAAACAAATCTAAAATATATATAGTTGGGTTAGGCTAAAATAAATTGTTCTTGTTATAATAAGGTTAGGTAAGTTTTCTAAGATTCTTTTGGTGAAAAATAAAAAAATTTCTACATTAACATTAATGAAAAAAATATATCTTTAAACGTATAAGAGAAAATTTTAGAAAGGACTTAATTTTAAATGAGTTCTTGCTAATTGAGTCCTGGAGATGGGAAGTACAGTGCCTGCACTCTGAAGGAGGGGTGTTAATGTTGCAGTTTAAAAACTGTAGTGTAAAGCACCCTTCTGGCAAGACAGTGATGGAGTGAATGATGGTGAAAGTTTTTCTTTTCCGGGCCACCCTGCCTTGGTGGGAATCGGCCGTTGTGATAATAAAAAAAAAAAAAAAATATATTTTATATATATATATATATAAATATATATATATATATATATATATATATATATATATATATATATACACACACACACACACCACACACACACACACACACACACACACACACACACACACACACACACACACACACACACACACACACACACCTCTGCACACAGTGTAAACTAGTTGCAATGAAAGTTAGTTTTGCGACATATGTCTCTCTCTCCTTCATTTACTGTTAGTTCAATAGTTAAGCTGCCATCATAATATTCTTTGAAACAATAAGGAAAAATATTGACCAGCAGGGAAATGTTTCGTCCTGGAGACCAAGCCTGGAGACCAAGCCTTTCCTTGGCCTCCAAGCGAGGGAATCTCACCGAGGTTTGCATTATCTCCCTTCATCAGCTGGTAGCTTCTGCAACTTCTCCAGTTTGTATTAAACAATCTAATAACAATGAGCTTGTAAATGATTATTTCAAGCCAATTAGTGTACTTGACATTATTTAAAAAAGTCTCCTCATTATGCACCTCGGTAATCCACTGTCTACCACCCACACGATGGGTAATACGGTCAACAATAAACCCACAATTATCCTTGAAAAAGAAAAAAAACCATAGATTTAAAAATTCCGTGTTAAAAAGATGGAAGAGAGTTCGGTAACTAAACCTGAAGCAGTGAAGATGGAGAGTGATGGAAGTGAGGAAGAGAGAGTAGGCTCCGAGAAGTGACAAGTCTTACAGCCCTCTCAACCGACATGCGGCGTCCTGAAGAAAGCACAGTCACTCTCTTCCTCAGTATAACACACTGTTGTTTCTTTTCTCCCCAAGTTCAATTTTCACTGACAAAGGCAAGTTGCTCATCCTTTCCTCTTGAAAAAGCAAATACCTCAAAAAAGACTGGTCCAAAACATCCAGGCATGAAAACCTTCCATCTCATATTAGAAAAAATTTAGAGAGTAACCTTCTGAAGAAATGTTGAAACTGATTAATTTTATGAGCCAAAATATTGATGAGAGTGATTGCCTCTTTACCGAGTATGAATTAGATAATGCATTAACTAAAGGTCGATCAACTGCTCCTGGAGAGGATGGTATAACCTTTTGATATTCTCAGAACTCTAAGGCACGTGCCTGATAACCCTTTGTTGGCACTGTAAAAATCCCCAGTTACATTGGGGGGGCGTTCTTCCTACTTCCTGGACCAATAGTCTCATTGTGCCTATCCCTAAGCGCCAACAGCCTGATACATTTAGGCCGATCCCCTTTTAACTAGTTGTCTTTGTAAAACTTTTGAAAAAATGATACTTAACGACTGTACTACAGAATCAGACACCAACTTTCCCCCTACCTCTTGAGTTCATGAAAGGTAAAAGTGCGCAAAAACTGTATTTCCACTTTCTCACTGCACACACCTCTACT